GTGTCGACAGCCAGCCGCTGCTGGAGGGGGAGGTAGGTGTTGATGATGATAATGGATGATGACACTGATGAAGTTCACACTGTCTTTTAATATTGAAGATCTGTAGAACTGCAGGGTGTCTTTGTAGTAAAAATGGGGCACCCTGCTGGCCACCGTTCACCCTCACTTAGTATCCTTATGTGTTTGGGTTCTGGACCTCATCATATGCTCTGATTTTCCTGAAGGTGAGCACTTTTTTGCAAGATCAAAAAGTATCATGTTAGTAAAAAAAGATAGATAAAGAGAAGGAAGGTGGGAATTTTGAGGGAGGATATTCAAGAAAGGGAAGGGAAAGAAGGAAGTCAGTGGAGCAAGAGTGAAGAATAAGTAAAAGGGGAAAAAGTCAGAGGTATTTTTTATTACTATTGATAGAAAGAAAAATTTTGGATTGACGATATGTGCAGCACTGATATTTATGCATGATTAATACCACACAGCACAACAGCCCACAGTGGCAGAACCAAAATCTCAGCCTTCCCCCTCCCTCTCAAATATAAGACTATCCATCTCCTCAAACACAGTCCGACTCTGCCACCTAATGGCACACAGTATATCCTTCTTGAAGAATTTTGCCTCTATGTTCAGTTCTACTTAACTGAAGTGGTAGACATAATTATTTATCATCAGTCGGCCTAACATAAATACTTGAATAACATTTAATGGAAGTCTGCTTTTTTTCCCAGGCACTGTGCTTTATTCAAAGAGCCACCTGGAGTTCTGAGGGAAACGGGTGCTAACTAGGCAAATGCATTTCCTGAAGAAAATGCATGTGGATGCTGATTGCTGAAGAATTGCCCTGAAAATGCTGAAATTGCTGAAACAGCTGAAGGCTATGATGCAATGCTGAATAATTATGGAAGATGAAACGGAAAACTGAAGTTGGGAATTTAACTTCATTATCTGAAGAAGGTGAGAGCTTAAGCATTCCTAAAACAGTGGAAGACTTAATCCCAAAGTGAGAGGTAGAAATTAAATGGCTTAAAGTTCTAAAAGAATAATTTTTATTGGCAGACAAATCTGTGTGTATGTATGGGTGTGTCACTGTGCTACTGTACCTCTGTGTGTGTTACTGTGCTACTATATTGCTTTGACTGTGTATGTTTGGGTGTTTATTTTGTGTATGTGTTTTTGTGTGGTACTATGTTAATTTTAATGTTTGTTTTAAGCAATTAAAATGTTTCGTCTCACCCCTTTTCCCTTGCTAAGCTGCATTAACCAATAGCAGAAACCAGTAAAAGTTCTAAATGTATGTCTATCCAGTAGGTGGATAGCTTGGTAGTTAACACTACTGACTGGTACAGCAGATCGGGGTTCGATTCTCTGTCAAGGCATGATAGATCATAGGATGTAAGGTGGGAGTTAAAATAGAGATGACTGAAGATAGACAGGAGGTAAGGTGATATCTTTCCTACCACCTTACATCCTACGATCTTTCATGCCTTGACAGAGAATCAAACCCCGACCTGCCGTACCACAGTCAGTCTCCCATTGACTTCTGTTATAAATGTTGAAAAATGCTGAATATATTAAAAAGTATAAATGTTACAAAAACAAAAAATACAAGTACACATGTCCTTAAAAGGCTGAACATGTTCTTTGATTGGTTTTTCTAGCTGAAAGTATGCTGGAGTTAAGTGCCAAAAAACATATGGAAGAAATCAGAAAATATAAAGAACATGGTGGTGCTGACTCAGCATCCACACAATAAATAATAGTTCATCAAGAAATAAGAACACCAGTGGAATAGATTTGTTCATTTAATAAATTAACACTGTTGTTATTCCAGCTTTACTAAAATTGTGTTTTTATGCAACAACACATTCTTATAGATGCGACAGGCACCGGAGACTTGACGGCCACAACTCTGAGCAGCTGTATCGGCAATGGAGGTGGAGAACATGGTCCATTCAGACTTAATGCCTCCAGTCTCTCTCAGGATCTGGTCAAAGCTCTGCCAGAGGTGGGAGTCAAAGATCTCCCGGACAGGGGGTTCTGCCAGACGTTCCTAACAGACCCTCACAGTATGTTTGGGTCTGCCGAGTCTGTCCAGCTTCCTCCTCCGCCATCGGATCCAGCTCACCACCAGGTGGTGATCAGTTGACAGCTCCGCCCCTTTCTTCACCCGAGTGTCCGCGACATACAGCCAGAGGTCAGATGAAACAACCACAAAGTCAATCATCGACCTCCGGCCTAGGGTGTCCTGGTGCTACGTGCACTGGTGGACAGCCTTATGCTTGAACATGGTGTTCGTTATGGACAAACTGTGACTAGCACAGAAGTCCAATAACAGAACACCGCTCGGATTCAGAAATAATTAGCCTTTTTGTGGAGTTATGATGGGTGCAAAGCTAATCTAGAGGTACCCAAGAGTAAACATTAAATGGCTGGAAATGAGCATGCCATGGGCTCTTTAAGGCCTCAAGAGTGTCTGGTGAATATGTCTCTTAAATATGTGTCATGTCCTCTTTGCAGCCACAGAACGGAAAGGTCCCACAGCAGGGCTGAAGCCATGGTCTCCAAAGAACTTTCTCCCAAGTCATCTGGTTTTGAATGCTGTGTGCATCTGCATTGGTATGTGGAAGAGTATTGTCAGATGTCTGTTTATTCATGAAGGTGCTTTGATGCCTCTTCACAGCTTTGGCGGTCTGCTCAAGGATTTCAGTGTAATTCGGCTCAGTATCAGGGGTCAGTGGGCGGGACTCTGAGGGGTCGTGGAAGAGGTCATACAGCAGCGGTGGATTGTGGTGCGTCACATGTTCTCCGTGGCATAGGCAGATCTTAGTGTCATAGCATGCACCAGCTCCAGGGGGAAAAAAGTTGGGAGTGAAAAAGTGCACCTTGTAGACAGAGTCACCTAAATGGAAACGCACACCAGTGAACATGAAAATGGGTACAGTGAAAACTACAAGTTAAAGCCCAGTATATTCCTAATTACCTATGTTTAGTATGACTGGGCTAAGAGAAAAGGTTTTGATTTGGAAGCAGTTCTAAATTTGATCAATGATTTGTAATAATCTATCAGTTGCAGTCTAAATTATTCAACCCCCATCGCAAATTAGGTGTATTAGCAAAACTTAACTTTAGCTATTTGCAATGAACAAATCAAACAAGAACAATTGTTACATTAGTTGTGTTGAGCTATTTCAAGTTTTTTCTCCACATTAAAAGCTGCATTCTGTGTTTAATGACTTCTGGAGTCTCAAAATTATTTAGCCCCCTGAATATTAGAATGCCTGTGTATGTAAACGTCTGACGTCAACTGTATATCTCAACCAGGATTCAATAAAAACTGGACTTGGTAAGTTGAACTACTAAAATTCAAACAAACCCATTTTGAATTATCAGATTTTTCAGTCATATTCACATTTTTGCAAGCACAAAGTGTGTACTTTGTCCAGTTAATTTTATTTTAGCTGCATCAATCTTACTGCAGAGCATCAGATAATGCTGTTATATTTATATTCTGTGTTCTATTTGTGAAAGTTGAGAAATACAGCTTGTTTTCTATAACTTGGTGACAATATGGGTGGCTTTCTGCTGAATTAATAATCAGAAGTTATAACAATCAGAATTATGCTAGATGATTTATGATATGTCTGTGTCAACAGTATGTGTGAACTTACTGCCAGGTGGGTGCCAGCGAACTGCATGCAGGTAGACGCCACAGTAGTGGAACATGAATTCATGCTCTGATCGCTCTACTTTCCCTTCCAGCAGTGGCATGATGTTATAGCCATCCAAATGTCTGGAAGAAAAAGTACAATAAAGAGAAAGAGGGGGCAGAGGAGAAGGTTTGTTAAGATACAGTGTGCTGTAAAATTAAGGGACAGAACATAAACAACCCTGGAAAAGAAATTCTAGACAATAACAAGCTTGTTTTGTCAAATAAGTTAGAGGTGCATACATTTGTCTTAATGACAAAGCATCGTTAAAATCTTACTTTCCGACCTAAAATACTTGGTTAATTAAATGAGTGTCTATACAGCAGCCTTCTCCAAAACAAACAATGTGGTGGTTCACAGATAACCAGGTGTTTCTGGATCCACACGATAATCGTGTAGCAACTTACAATTTTATGCACAAGTTTAGAGTCATTTTATGGTATTTCCTCTTTTCTCTAACTCTAAACACCACTGCAGTGTATCATTGTATTTATCAGTTACTGTACTGTTGTACTGTCCAGGGTTTCAACCTATACAGAAAAACAGGCAGAAACAAATAAACCAAATGTATACTGTACAGTTAAGGCACCCATATCAGCCAGCTTGTACCTGTCTGGTTGTGTGTCCTTGGCTAAGTACTTCAATGTAGGATACAGGTCCATAAGACTTGTGGGTTCGTCCACTACTCTCCCAGCTGCCAGTCTGCCAGGCCAGCGGAAAATCCCAGGTACCCTTATTCCTCCTTCCCAGCCCCCCATAGCCTTCCCACCTGATGAAAAATTACATAAACATTTGGATTTTTTTGCAATAAAATGCAGTTAGTCACATTAATTGAACATTACCAAACTGTATAGTGTAACATGACTAATAATTAAGTTATGTTGTAATAAAAACAATTCTGTATAAAGACTTTTTTCTGAGATCTGAAATAACTAGAGAAATATCTGAAGGTTTGACACGAAATACATCAGAGATTAAAGTACCAATGTGTCAGTAAAAAAAAAAAAGCTTCATTAAGTATCTACCTTTGTAGATGCCGTTCCAGCCACCTGTCTGGCCAATTAGCGGGTGAGATTCCTCTAGGTGTCCACCATGATCCGATGCAAAGTACATCAAAGTATTGTTGGCTAGGCCGAGGGAATCCACCGTCTCTGTCATTTTACCTGAAAACACAGCAATCTATGATGTGACAGTTAATACTTCACAAACCAAGGAGACTGTTCTGGCTTTCCAGATGGTTAAAGGTACAGACAGACAATACAGAAAATTTTTAGCCCCTTTCAGGTATTGTTAAATGGTTTCAATTCATCCCTCCAAACTGGTATTTGGATGGTTTTGTAAATTTATCCCATTTACATAAGTATTTTGTTATTTGGTTGAAGCACCTTTGGCAGCAATGATGGCCTCAAGTCTACTTGAGCATGAAGCTACAAGTTTGGCACCCTTCTTCCATTCTTAATGGCAGAAGTGTTCAAGATCAACCGGGTTAGAGAGGGAGCGCTGGTGCATCTAAAATGTTTGACCCAAGTTAAACAGTTTAAAGGCAATGCTACTAAATGCTAACCGAGTGTATGTAAACCTCTGACCTACTGGGAATGTGTTGAGACAAATAAAATCTGAAATTGATCTTTTTCTCAACTATTCTCCTGTCATTTCACATTCTTAAAATAAAGTAGTGATCCTAATTGACCCAAGACGGAGTTGTGAAAATCTGGGTTTTTTTTTTTTTAAACATTTATATTTGGCTAAAGTATATGTAACCTCTGACTTCAACTGTATGTAAATGGGATATTTCAGTCTTTTATTTTTAATAAATTAAGAAAACATTCCAAAAATCTACTTTTGCTTTGTCATTCTGAAGCATTGTGTTTTGACTGAGGGGAAAATAAAAAGAACTGAATCCATTTAAAGAGGAGTGTGAAACATAAAATGTGGAAAGCTTGACAGGGTCTGAAAACTTTCCATACTGACTGTACTGGACTGAACCTTGGTCTTTTCCTTTTGACACCATTGCTACAGTAAAATCAGAGGTGCTGAAACACAGACAGGATGTAAACAAGCCGAGAATACAGGCAGATTATCTAAACCACTGTATGTTGAGGTACGAGTGACAGAAGAATGGAAGGTTTGTGATATTCATCATTAGACCAGACATTATCAATAGCACAGCTGAAACAGAACCACTGGGGCCCCGTTTATAATTCCTTGTTACCACCTGAGTGAAAAGCTTTGCCACAGGTGATGGTTAGCTGTAAACCATGTAGTATTTAACAATGCACAGAGCTCTGACTCACCAATGATCCAGTCCATTTCTTCTAGGTTGTCGCTGTAGAGGCCATGGTGACCTTTGCCTACAAAGGCAGGTGTTTCGAAGAGGGGTGTGTGGATATGGGCCAAAGAGAAGAACAGAAGGAATGGACGATTGGCATTTCTGGAGAGGAGAGAAACAGGAAGACGTAAACGGAGAAGTTCTCTCATTAGTTATGATCTCATTTCAGATATTAACCATTTCCAATGCTTAATGTACAATAGTGGGTTTTTTTTTGCTTAAATCTACAAACTGTTGCCTGTGTAGCAAACACCTGGTGCCACAGACCTCCACTGATCCACAACCAGCCTCAATGAGCCCCATGGTGTCATTTCTTCAAAATGTTAAATGTCATCAATCCCATATATAGTAACTATGCTGATGCAGTAAATAGTCACTAGTGTAACATGTATTAATCTGCAGCTGAACAGTACAATGCCCAGCTGTTTTAAGAAATTAATGATGAATTAACCTTTTTGGCATTTCATAAATATTTACAATACATGTTCAGTAGAAAGAAAAGATTTAATGAAACGAGAAGACTGAAAATAGTGAGGGGCAGACAGATGCATTGTTGTAGTTTATATTTCCAAATTGTATAAAAACTACATCATTCAGCTTTACTGTGCAAGTTGCATTTTTTGAAAGCTATTTTCTCACTTGTTTATTTTCTCACAATTATTAACACTATTGATGAAAAGCATTGCATACATGTGATTAAACAATACTACTACTCAAAGTTTGACACATGCCACCTCTGTGGTTGGGATAAGTTTAGCCAATCTGTAACCAAACCACATGTGGTATGTGAAATATGGAGCTGTGTTCAGATTGCAAACAAGACTTTAAGCCATTTTCTTTTTCATAGATTTGTTTAGAAAGTGTTATTTTGCTTTCGCTTTCCTACCTCTTTATAAAATTCTGTGCTTCTCCCAACAACCTCTGGGGCAGAGTCTCCACTGTCATTGGCTGTTCTATCACTTCTTGGTTCCTCATGATAATGCAGTTCCAGGTGGGCAGGAGTTTGAAGGGCACATACCACAGTGCAGTTGCTAGGATACTGAGAAAAAGGAGCCCTACCAGAAGCCACCAGCGTACTTCAAAGAGGCCACGCACACGGACCAACACCTTAAATTACATAGCACACCCACACAAAAAATAAAAACAATGTCAATACACAACCACATATGAATATGTAAGTTCCTAAGATGTTCACATTATACACACACACACACACACACACACACACACACACAGTATATGTGTGTGCATAGTGACAGGCCCATTCTGATGCAATTCAGTGATTTTGCCACTAGATGACATCACAAACCAAGTCACTTTTTTGTACAAATAGTACATTGTATCATTTGTTCATACTACAGTATACATACAGTAGTATGCTACATATACTACAGTATTTAAAGTATCTGAAGTTTTACAGACTTCAGTCTCCCTGCAGGTTGATCGTTATTTGTGCTCTTTGATTTTAATTTCTCTGGGTCTGTCCCTGGTAGGCTAGTGGTTAAGGCGCAGCACTCTCGCCGCTGCACCACGGGTTTGAATCAGGGTTGCGTCAGCAAGGGCATCCGGTGTAAAACACGTGCCAAATGTCAACATGCGAGTCGTCAGTGTGACGATTCGCTGTGGCGACCCCTGAACGGGAAAAGCCGAAAGTGACTTTCTTTTTCAACAAACATCTGTTTCAAGCTTTCTTGCTTTCTCTACCTGTGGCACAGCTGGTTCCCATTTGTCTTAATCATCACTGCTGGGTCCTCACCAAATACAAGTTTCAACATTACTTTGCTTTCCCCTAAAACAAGTTTTTAGCCTGTGTGACTAAGAGTTTCACAAGTGAAACTTCTGTTCCCAGTATTTTTCCAAGTCTGTGACTCATGTCTAAGTGGTTACACATTAGTCACTTTGCTCTGGGCTGAGCAGCACAGCAGCTCTTGGTTATACAGTTTCTGTCATCTGACAACCCAAATGTATCAGTTTGTTAGTTTTTGTTTTCTAGATCAGCCAGCTTTTCTCATCAACTCCTTTCAGATATAAGTAATCATCTCTAAAAGACAGAAAAAGCCTAAATTGACCAAAACAATAAAAAAATAAAACTTACTAGTGTAAAAAGGCCGACTCCCAAGATAATGGTCAGATTGCGGAGTGTGTGCTCCATGTCTGTCAGGATATCACCCATCCCCAGTCTGGGCACACAGGCACCAAACAAGGTAAACGGCAGGCCGTAGTAATAGCTGAAGCCGTGTTGGTTTGGGTGATGACAGTGATCCCCTCTGCGTTCACAGTTTACACCCAAGTGCCACTTGCCTGCAGAGAGACAGAGACAGTATAAGAGAGAGGTCAGTCATTTGCTTACATAGCTCAATTCATGCAATCCAGTAGTTCAAAGTGTTGCTTACTAAACAGAATTAGTAAACTAAAGACAAACAGGCAATGAAGCAATAAAATTAGATTAATAAAAGTTAAAACACAGGGAAGCAAAATACAATGCATGAATTGAAAGCCAAGCTGAAAAGGTGAGTTTTCAACTGATTTTTTTAAAGGGAACTAGTGAGGAGGCCTGTTTCGTCTGCTGGTAGGTGATAACAGGCGCACAGAAGGAGGCAGCAACATCTCTGTTTTTACGATATGGCTACAGGGAGTCAATGTAATGAACTCAAAACTGGCCTAAGGATTCCTTCCTTTATATAGGCCATCTGTTCATGTTTAAAAGCATTTCAAACACCACAGTAACGATTAGACACAGTGGTGTCAGTCACTGACATTTTTATGTCAACTCCCTGTGTTATTACTAAAGTGTATTACCTTGTTACTGTGTACATGTCATATCCAGAGCATCTTATAGGATCAGAAACTCCTTTGAGTTGTTTTGTTACTGACACAAGTACTAATCTCTAGGCTGGCAGTGTGTCGTGTAGCACCCTGAGAAAGGCCCGAGATTGCAGAGTAATACCCTTTCCATTACATCATGATCAGCAGGTTCATACTGCACACGGCAGCTGACATATCAACAAGGCACATGGGGGTGTCATGTACGTCATGCATTCAGGATATCAATTTCATTTTTTTTTTTTGAAATGGCAGAAAAGGCACCAAAAAAAAACGCTGAGATGGAAAATGTTCAGAGGTCTCCTGATTAGACTCCAAGTGTCAGAGTACTATTCCACTCCTGAAAAGAAAGTTTCCTATGAGTAAGCAAGGTCCTCGTTACTCTGAGACATGCCTGACCAATTAGTGGCTGTATTGCCATCAACTTTACTGCTGTCAGGGTTACTAAATAGAGGACCCACATGCAAAAACACAAGGGCTCAGTGATGACAAACAAGGGTTATAATGAGACAACTACTGAGGAAACATGGATGCAAAAGGAACACAAGACTACCGGAGCTAGCAATTAATGGTAACTATAAACTGATAAACAACTCCTGTAACCAGCATACAAGAACAAACTGGACGCAGTCTGTATACAAAGAATGACACGTGGGACTGAGTCCAACAGGAGAAACAGTGAACACGGAACCAGCAGCTGCAGTCTGAAGAAGACTGGTGACGGAGGGGAGCACAGACGATGAGCTAGCAACTACGGAGCGGAGATGGCAGAGTGTACCAAAATAAGTATGAAAAAGTATGTACGGGGAAATCATGACAACTCCATTTACACTGTTGCCCAAAACACACACAGCACTGCAGAGCACATTGGGACATTTATGCAACACATTATGTAATAACTCATTACTTCTTCCCAGAATCTTTTCACTTTCCCACAATCTGAAACAGACACATTTTCTTTAGTTTGAGGAGACTTTACATATGACACACTCACTGACTGTGTTTTTTTTACAAGCAGTGTCTATGGTTAAGCATGGTGCATTTAGCAAAGTAACTTTTTACTGAAACATAATATGCATAATGAACACATCTATGAAATTCTGTAGCTATATCATATCAATGAAGAATTAGTCTTACTAATATTCTGTTACATTTCATTACGCCTTCCAACATCCCACGTGATCCAGATTAGAATCGAAGCTGGTTTAAAATTTATCTGGAGCCACTGCCAGAGCAGAACAGAGGTGGTGCCACCATCAGAGACTTGGTGGCACCAGTGCCACCAGTTTGATATTTTAGTCTGTAGTCCAGTTTAGGACAGTGAAGGGCACCGTTTTTGTCTTTTTGGTTTTTATATTTTACCTCACTGTTCATTTTGAACTGACATCAGTGTGTTTACTTGGAAACAGAATAATCTTTACTTTTGGTATTCCCACTTTATGTTTGTCATAATTTTCATTTAAAGTGGTATTAAATTGTCTTATTAATTAAAAAGTCTTACATTTAATTTGCGTACAGTTGTAGACACCCTGAAATGCCCTTTGAAGGGCTACTTTTGACTTTTACAATTTGAGGGCCTTTCAGAGCCTGTACCTTTTCAGTTTGAATCAGTACTTCTGCTTTTATCAGTCTATTTTTACACAGGTATGTGTGCTTCTAAAGGAGTAACAAAGGTGTGTACTGACAGCTCTGTACATATGTAGATCCAGTGGTGTGTAAACATGCCACTCTGTACTGCTTGTTTGTGCAGATTTTACAGTGAGAGCAATATTCAAATATCACAAAAATGATATCCACACAAACACTTCCATCACTATAAGCTGACAAACAAAGCCATCCGTGAGGACAATAAGCGCCGACACCCAGAAAGGGGAAATGTTACAATGAGGCACCAGTGACTAAGTTTTCACATTACGTTATCTCACCCACTAGGCCGGTGGTGTATCCTTGTTGCTGTAGCCTTTTAGCAAAGGTGGTCTCACTGGGTGGCAGGCCACCCGAACCTGCTAAGAACACCAGCACCTGGACCCGGCCTGTGCCAGCCATTCCTAGTCAACAGATACACAGACATGCAAACATAAAATGGAACAAAGTGTTTGGGACAATCAAACATTGCTGTTCAATCATGACCAGAATGCTACTATTTGCACTTGCTGAATAAACTTAAGGGTATCTGTTACCGGAACGGACTGCGTAACGCCCCGTCATGAAAGCAGCCCGGCTCGGAGTGCAGAGAGGAGCAGCTGCAATGTGCTGAGTCAGCTTCACCCCTTCAGAAGCCAGTCTGTCGATGTTAGGGGTCCTACAGGGACAGAACAGGCTTAATAAACAGGTGGAGCCACATATACATAAAGACATGAAATGTCTGATCAACACAACAGAGAGATATTGGGATAGAGCTGACATAACAAACAGGATTATATAGCAAATACCGAGAATCCAAGCAACAGAAGGGCGAGTGGAGGAAAGGCATAGACAGGACCAGACTTACCTGACGGTATCATTATCGTAGCACCCTACATCACCGATGCCCAGGTCATCTGCTATCATCAGAACAAAGTTTGGCCTCCTGTCCACCTCCTCCCCTGAGACTCCCCTCCCTGGTGCCAGGATCAGGGAGAAAAGAAGAGGTGCCAGAAGGGGGGACCTTGGGGCGAAAGATTAAGAGTGACTTTGGCATCTTAGATTGACCTGAAATGAAACCCTAGTTCTGAAATAATTAGTCCTTATATTAACTGACAGAACATTAATTACTTACAACCCCAAATCAGAAGAAGTTGGGACAGTATGTAAAACTGAACATAGTGATGTGTAAATCAACTGTCCTGTGTTACACTGAAAACAATTCAGCTGTACATTGATGTGACACCTCATCAAATTTATTCTTTGTTCAAAATAAACACACTTCAATTCTGATGCTGCAACACATTCCGAAGAGAGTAAAAGCATTTACCACAGCGTGATGCTGCCAGGCAGACCAGTCCAGCACTCGCACCCTTTTCCTTCATTTCATTGTTTTACCTCGTTACTGACCCTGAAATGCAACATCCCAACATTTTTGGGAATGTGTTGCAGCATCAGAATTGAAGTGTGTTTATTTTAAACAAAGAATAAAGTTGATGAGGTGTCACACCAGATAATGTGCTGCTGTATTGTTTTCAGTGCGATACAGAACAGATGATTTACACATCACTATTTTTTAACAGATGATTTACACATCGCTATTTTTTTGTTTTAATTTAGATTTTACATACTGTCCCAAGTCTTTCTGATGTGGAACAAGATACTTGACTTTGGACTCTGAACCTGTGATGAGGATTTTCTCTGTCTTACGACAAACGACCCATTATCCAGTATTCATTAATGAGTAAACCAGTGTCTGGTTGACAGATCCTCTTAATCAAGGAAGTGTTAGGTATTTTTAGTCAGATAGAAACTGGATAGATACTTTATGTATTAGAAATGTTTAGTGGAGATAGGATGTCTGGTTAGACTGTTAAATGCTTAGTCATGCTTATGAGTTTCTACAGGGTACATCTGGTCAAGGATAACTAGAGAGAAGAGTTGATGACTGTCAGCAGACAGGGTGTTTAATATTATTATTATGACGTGTATAACTGTAGCCTTAGCCATAATATTTTACCTGTGATCCTTTGAATAAATCAACACTGTTTTGAAGTTACTTGGACTGTCTCGTCTCTCAGAGTCAGTATGGTAAAAAGTACGGGGTACAACAGAAGCAAAACAAGTTGATCTGGATCCATATCCGTCTGCCATGTTACTTCACACCATGGCTCAGTTCCCAGACTCGATTGTGTTAGGTGGCCTGAACTAACCTGCACTAAATGTACTGAATAACAGACCTAATGCTGTCGCTGGGTCGTGAAACATTACCAGCATTCAGTATACAAGGAAACGTCTTTATTGTGCATATGGCAATAAACGCTTTGAACTGATTACAGACCTCTTAACACATGAACGACTGGAACTCTGTGCTAGGTTGAAGCTGCTTGACAGCAGTGACTGCAATGTTCTACTACACCTTGGACTGTTTTGTTTACAAAACTAACTTTTAAGCTTAAACGCAAGGGCATAACTAGCGGTGGTCAGTAAAACGCTGTGACATGTTTGTCAAGTGTGTGAGAAACATCTGTATTATCTGAACAAAACCGTCACATTCATTCGGTTTTAGTTCATACATTTTAGTCCGTTCTAAACATTTTAATGTCGCTAATGTAATGCATGTAATGCATGTAATGTTTGAAAGAGCTAAAGCAAACAATATGAACTCACCTCATACTTGCACAAATCAAACCTTCCATCGCGCATTTCCTACAACACCATCCACTGGGTCCGAAAACCCTACTCTACCGTACTGACTGGATTATGAGCGCACGGCCACATTTGCCTTAATATATGCAGTAAATTCGCACAAAATCTGACCATTTTAGAATAACCATACATCTGTGTTGGGGAGTAGGGAACTACATGAAATTAACGTTTGGAGTAGTTTGCTAGTAGTTTAACTGCATTTATGTTTGCATAGTGATTCTTCTTCTTCTTCCACTTTCGGCTGCTCCCGTTAGGGGTCGCCACAGAGAATCATCAGTTTCCACCCAACTGATGATTCGCATGTAAAACTTGGCATAGTTTACGCCGGATGCCCTTCCGGATGAGGTTTAATTTAGGGCGACTAACCTGCACGTCTTCTGACTGTGGGAGGAAACCGGAGCACCTGGAGACAACCGGCGCAGGCGCAGAGGGAATATGCAAATTCGCACAGAAAGGTCATGTTTGCATAGTGATTAAAGTAGTTAAATTCATTCATTCATTTTTTGTGTAGCAGTCTACTGAAACTACAAGCTATGTTGGACATTAAATGAAATGTATGAATTTTATTTTTATTTTACCATTACTGTCTTTGACAGACTGCTCATGTGTTTTATAAACAAATTCTGTTCTAGCAAGTAAAAAAAATAGGCCTGTTATATAAACCAACATTCAAGCTGTCTAAAAAGGTTCAAGTTGACCAGTTTTTAGTTAAGGTTGTACAAAATGTTACTAAAATGACAAGTGAGACAACATGCCTGTTTTTAGACCAGTGCTCAAGTTGGCTGGCCTAAACAGGTGTAAGTTAAATATTTCTTTCTTTTCGTTGTAGTCAGATAATACAAAGTCCAGATTAGTTTACAACCAAAGTAAAAATTCTCTTGCAGTTTTGTCCCTCAGATAAGATATTTTTATTAAGGACAGGTTTAGGTCTCACTCATTTAAGTGGCTTTTTTTGCTGCCATGTGATGTTTTGTATTATACTTTAATAGTTTTGTATCACATATTCATATAAATTGCCAATTTGATCATTTTTTATAAAGTAGTTTGAACTACTTTATCTAAGTAGTGTTAGAAATTAACCCAATTCTTTTGTTGGAAGCACGTGAAGTGACGACAGAAGAGGACTGTTTAAAATCAACAGAAAGTTTACTGAATGTCTGATCACAGGTAGCCTTACAGTGCTGGGATCAGAGGGACAGAACTCCCGCAGGAGTTCCATCCACTGAACCCTGAATTAAGTTCTTACAATACATTTTATCTTCTTGGGCTGCTCCGCCCTGGACAGAGGTACAACATTTAACAGCTTTTTGATCCTATTGTCCATTTGGTGTGAACCGGAGCTCCGCCTTGTTAGAATGTGGTAAAGTCTAGGTGTGTGTGTGTGTGTGTGTGTGTGCGTGTCTCTCAGGTTGTAGCCCCCCCTGTGTGTGTAAGACACCCCCTGGTGAGGCAGAACTTGGGATATGCTATATGGGTCCAAAGAATATTTTTCAGCAATAGATATAGGCCCACTTGTGTTTTATTTAGGCACAGTTTTGATGTATTTGTCCTTTACGCTGCAGTTTCATTTTGTGCAACTTTACTCCTTCTCCACCACATTTTAGTAAAAAGTGACCCACTAAATTTCTCTGATAGATGTATTTACCAGTTAGACTACTTCAAATCAATATTTTACAGATACTACCAGTCAAACATTTTGGACATAATTGAATGGGAAACTGTACTTGTAACTGGACTGCACTTTTACTTCAGAAAATTCTCTGAATGTCTTTCACCTCTGGTATTTTTATGAGTTAGTTAACACATACTGACACCAACAGAGCTGAGTTTTATCATTTCAACCTTGAAAGATGATTTAGCCTAAATTACTTGGAATTCAGCCAGCTCCATTAGCAATTCATACCAGGTCCCCATAGATGTTCACAGTGCCGGGTTTAATTAGATGGTGTACTGTTGGTGTAATGGCTGATGGGTATGAAATATATATAGCTATAAAGGAAGAATTATGTGCCTGTTTAGTTGTCATCATCATTCATTCAGAAAGTTAATGTCTTTTATTATCAGTAGGTGGGGGGTATGGAGAAAATAAATAGATAAGAGGGGGTATACCATTCTTTTAGATCAGGGGAACATTGTCACATACTGTGAAAGATCAGTCAGGAAAATAAAACACCACCTCCCATGAAAATGTTTAATTGACATCTCAGACTTTACTTACACAATTCCAGAAGAACAACACAAGTGCCAGATGACACAAATGAAGAAGACAGTTCCTAGACAAAATAAAAGCACAAAACATTTAAATAAAAAAGTAGTCTAAATGAAAAAATAAACTGTCTAATGAATCAAGATGCATACAGAATAGAAAAGTGCTTCCCCCATAGACACTGTTATTAAAATCACCTGCAAAACACCTCGGCTTATTTTACTGTTTCTCCAATGACACTGTGTTACGTTTCCCTCTCTGGAATGTTCAAGAGGCGGTATAAGGCAGGACTGGTCTGTGCCACAGTTAATGCTCTAGCATTATTTGGAAAGTGCACTTCAGGCCCCAGAAGTTATGATTCCCTTGGTTTACATTCAGGATTGGATGCTACAATCCAATGGTTTGTGTTTACAAGGAATCTGACTACTTGGGACTAAAATGTAGAGTGGACCATTGATGCTTAAACACAGACAATCATTGTTTTATTTAAATGACTTTATTGTTGTTCAGTTTGCTTAAATCAAATCAGTTCCATGTTTTACTGTGTTGTGTACTGCAAGGCAGCAGAGTGTTTTAGTTGATTCCTGTCGCACTCACTGGAGTGCACAAAGGAGGTAAGACCTGCCTTACAAGGAGTATTCCGATTTCTGTTTTGAAGGCATTAGTGGCTATTTCTGAAAGCTTGTACTATTATTTAGAGGATATTTTGTGCATTATCACTCCATGCCAATGTAACAGATGCAGTAAGAGATTTCAGGCACACTATTCACTAATGTGTCCACTTTGACATAACAAGAGAAGCTCAGTCTATCACAGATTGCAGGATAAGAAGGCAATTCAGACACAGCTTTGACCCAGTGTCCAGCCCACAGTTCATACAGTAAAACTAATTGATATGTGACATCACAGGCTATTAATAGTTCTCGGTTTGAGGCTAGGCTGTTAGCAACAGTCTCTGTCCTGTATTGCAGCTTTATGGTGCTTTACAAGAAACACACGTTACATGAACTGCAGTACTATGCAACTTCTATAAGCCTATTTCAAAATTTAAAGGGAGCAGAGCAAGTACAAAACTGCAAGGCAACAAAAAGACAGTCAGAAGTTAACCTTTTGTGCTACAGTTGCAAAAAAAAAAAAAAAAAAAAAAACTGTCAGACTTTCTTTTAAGTGTTAGCGCTAGTTCTGAGGCATTTCACAATAATATTCACAAAATACCACAGCAAACATGTTGACTAAAGATGAGCCATTTCTGAGGCACCACTGCTAAATGTAAAAAGCTATATAAAAATCACAGGCGTGTGGCGTTTGTAATGTGGAGATATGAATGATAACTGTGACAGCTACTGGTTTGCTCAAATGAAGAGACACACAGTGAGCAGTGAGGAGAGTTTTACCACTGTGCAGTGTTAGTGAAATAAAGAAAACAGCGATCACTGTCAACAGATACACTGCTGTTAGAATCATATACAACAGAAACTGTTTCACATGCATGAGCACTCGAATGCAAGAGGGTTTAGCCACCAAAATGATCATTTATGAATTATTAAAGATTGTACTGTACATTTCTCAGTTTTTTCCATAGAATCGTTTACTAGTTTGCTTTTACTTTTAATGTTTCAGCTCTGTGTGTGTCTGTGAATTGGTCAAACCAGGCTGTGTCAGTGAAAGGCACTATAAAGGAGAAATTACTGCATCACAACTTGACTGACACACATATTACATCAAAACAATGTCTAATATAGTACTACAGGATGTTTTTTTATTATTATTATTATTTGTTCATCTCTCGACCAAAGCAGGACTTCAGTTCAACTTACCACAGTAAATTTTGAAAATATGCATTTTGGCAAAAATACTGGGAAATATATAGTTTTGATATTGAATTTGTAGATGTTATATTCTTTTGGATTTTGGGCTGTTTATTATGAAATTTCACTCATCTCCATTTAATTTATTGAATTGACTGAGGATAAGTGGTAGTTGCCCAACAGTATTTAAAACAAAGCCCCTTCATACATTCACATTCACATTCACACACACACACACACACACACACACACACTCATATAGCACTGGCCCCCTAAACACACACTGGACCATATAAAGAGAATCCCAGGACTGTAATCCTGTCTCCAGAATCCATGAACTACGGTGGTAGTTACTGAAGCGCCCTGTTATCCATCTATTCTGCATTTGTATGGCAAAAAATTATACTGAATAAAAAAATGTTTTACTTAAGTGTCATTGAATGTTCAAAATTATATGGATGGTTGAAATAGTGACATAATTAGCTTAAAAAACGTCTAAGAAGTCAGTACAAAGTTAAACATCTACAACATCAAAATCAGTCAATGGTTTAGAGTCACACTGAATTACAAGAAATGGATAGTAGCCATACAAATACAAAAAGGTAGTACTTTATTTTAGCCATTTCATGGTCATATTTAAAGTGAGATTTAATCTCTTTAAACGTCAAGTAAAAGTTAGATTTGGTTTACAGTAGAAAGTTTGGTCAATCATAATGAATTCTTAGGTTCTAACATCATAAAACCCCAAAGGTTCATCTATATTTAGTTGCTTTTTCCCATCTAACTCCTTCCCCACATATATGCACGCACACAAGAACACACACAAACGCATACAGACAACACACAAACACATGCACACGCACATTCCTTTTCATCCTCTCGTGGGGATTTTACATTGATTTACACTAATTTCCTGAAGACTTACCCTAATGGGAACCATAACCACTCCTTGCTTAACCCTAGCACTAATATTAAACCAAGTCATCACTCTAAAATTTTACATGGTCCCCACAAGAAAAGCCGAGTCCCCACAATGTGCATGTGTAAACAGTTTCAGTCCCCACAGTGCGAGTAATACCAGGTGCGCACACACACATACATACACACACACAGCCCTACTCTGGGGCCTCACAGTATTTTAACTCTTCAGAGGAAAGAGCCTAAATGTGAGAGTGCCACTTTGCTTGAATGTAGTTGGTCCAGGGAGGCGAGTAATCAAAAAAAAATTCAGCAGGTTGCTAAGGACTGCAAAAACAAACAAAAATATACACAATTTAAAAGCACTGTCCTTGGTTGTATCTCCTTAAAATATATGTGCATGTAACTGTCTCATACCCTGGGGATCTGACTGGCCCTCTGTTTTATCAGCTTTGCGTCCAGCTTCTGGATCTGCTTCTAATCAGAGAGACTGAAAGTCAGTAATATGCAAAAACACTGACAGATGAAATGAAGCAGACAAGGGATCACATACAAATTTGAATTTCACAAGCATGTAGCTAATTAACTCCTTTTGCTATTCATAGCATAGATGGCTTCACAGGGTCCCCTATGGTCAGTTTGCAGCTTAAGTATGACAAAGAGAACACCTAGAGGGAGTTTCTGAGGGTGTTATTATTTCTCAGCTCTAATTGCTCATTATCACTATCATGAACATTTGTTTCATTTTTTTTCTGGTGTAAAAGTGCAAAACTATCCAGGACTTCCCATTTCTTTTCAATGGAGCAACTCCATGCTGTTCACGTTACCAAATCCAATCTCTTCCATATATACAGTATATTCCAGCTGAGGGGGTATAATTTATGTCTATTAATACTGACAGAACTGTCTAGAAATCCACAGAGGAATGAGCTAAATTCAATTTATTTAGGCTTTCAGGATAAATACTAGCTATTATTACAAATATTCACAGCACAGTCCTGATTCAGAATCTGACTTTTTGCCTTACATCACTTATGCTGAATGGCCCATGGTTCATGTTGACTATAAATGAAAACTATGCTGAATTGGCTGTCTAGTCAGGGTGTGTGAGTTGACTGTAAATGTCAACACCTTCTAAAGGATAAAGCTGAGTCTGCTGACCTCCAAAACCAAACAACCCACCAACCTCACACTTCAGTCTGTCTGAAGGAATCTGTCACTGGTCATTTGATTAAAGGCTGAGATTCTGCTATGATCCAACAATGTACGGTACACTCCAGCATGACTGACCCTTAAGAGATCTGACTCTGTGATGAGCATTAATGTTTGCTGATAAATGATGCTAAGTCATTTTATTCTTTCTCGCTGCATGGAACTGTGTAAACAAGACGGAGAGGCTCAGGTTGTGACTGGACCTTGACTACTTTTATGAGGTGGACACCAAACGGAAACTCTTGAAAAGGCTGCAGTTCGTTGTTTAAGAAACTAAAGGAATTTCTTGTATAAGTTCTGTATAGACAAGTCAAACATTAGACCTTGTGTACCTCAGTTAGGTATCGTATTATTTAGGCTTTTCTAAAATTAACATAATTACCCTGTCCATTTTTGAAGCATAGTTTCTTCCTCTGATAGGTGAAGTATACAGTGACTGCTGCCACGGCCGCCACAGTAATTGCACACAGGATGCCTGCTAAAGAGCTGGAACTGGCTTTTGTAGGAAACAAGAAAACAACAACAGATGAACACCACCAGGGAATCAGAGCTAAAGATGCTTATGAATATCTAATCATAAAAACACCATTTCAATGCAAAACATATCCATTTGAACATGTTTGATGATGCAGATGTGACTGCATGGTGCTGCATGTTTTACAGTGTAACGCCTGCATATGGAGAATGTCTGAGAATGTGTGTGTGTGTGTGTGTGTGTGTGTGTGTGTGTGTGTGAGTGAGAGATATGGATCATTTTGGTCCTGCATTTCCTGATCACTTTTCACTCATCTATTCTAGACTCCTAAAAGCACCGATAGTGACAGCATAAATCTGTCTGCACATGTAACCCAGTTACTATGACAACACTGATCTTAACAGTTTTCATGCTGGCATACAGCAGATACTTTTCATAGTCAACTAAAAGCACAGACAACAAATGCACACAACCTACAGTGTTATGATGATCATTAATATTAACAATAAATCTTAATGAAATCAAAGTAACTCATTAAAAATCCAAGTACTAGCACAAATACCACAGAATTACTGTTTGTCAATAAATGTAATCATTTGTTTTCTATGACTGTAATTGACAACTTTATATAACCTATACATGTACTGTAACAGCTACATTTTTTTCTTACTGATGAATTAAAGATTTAAAATTAAGATTTAGCATCAAACAGCAGACATAAAGAAGACTTAATGTAATGGCTATATTGTGTGAACACTTTGAATTTACTCTAAAAGGTAGAAAGGAGGATTACAGAGTAGCTTATGAGGCAGTGTTAGTGTTCTAGAGAGACTTCAGCTTAAGTGAAAATGAAAGGGGAGATGAAGAGGAGAAAGGATGTGGGGGTGAAATGTTTGAGTCAGCAACACAAGAAACAAAACTGAAAGAGTATCATAAATCTAGTGATAGGTGAGAAAAACAAGGGAGTGGCTAATGCCACTCCCTTGTCACAAAATTCATGTAAATCAAGATGAATCATGATGAATCATGAATTAAATTCATCAGAATTATAAACAGGAGAATGTAGTGAGTCAGTGACAGGAAGTAAACGTGGGCGCAGACACAGGCATGTGCGAACATGCGTGTGCACAAATGCAGAACAATGAAACACAGAGACACACACAGAGTACAGGGACAGATAAAGTGGCAGACAAGACAAACATAAATGTATGGAAACGTATAGGAACCAGGTGTATAGCAACCGCAGCCTCTATCACATTACTGCAATCATCCATTAGCTACGTTACTATAACTGTGTCATAAGATACAATTATCTAGATAGTAGGGTTTCTTTGGAATGATCGTCGAAATACTTCCACTACTTATACTACTATGCGTCAAAATACTTCCACTACTTATACTACTATGTGACAGCTAAAGACAGACTGACATTTGGACATTCTGTCATCATACAGTTCAGTGTGATGAGTTAGATGAATTGATTCATATACTCTTATTACCTAAACAGATGCAGTAATGCTAATACTGAAAAGAGATGTGCTGACTGTCATAAAACTTTCCATACTGTATCTCCAGGCACTACTGCTTAATTACTGCAGGCATTTCAGTGAAATGCATTGGTGGCTGGAAAAGATAAGAGAAGGTCAACTTACCTCGAGTCTGAGAGTTGTCTCCTGTTCAGAACAAAGAACGCACAAATACAATTAGAAAGATGAAACTACACCATTTACACACATTTTTGTGATGACAGGGGGAAACACCAAAGGTGTTCAATACACAGGGAACCAGGCACAAACACACATCCATCAATCTAGTCTATCTGATGTCCAGTTTGACAAATCAGGAACATAGGTTCATGCCACCATGGAAGAGCTACAGCAGGAGCACATTTCTTAGTAAAGCACTCTTAAAAATGCAAAGTTCCCAACACTGTTTGAACTAGAACAATACAGGAGATGCATTTCCACTGAGCCTGTATTTATTGTCAGGGCCATGGCAGTCATATCCTGGGTGTTTCACCAGTTTTCAGAATAAGTCCCATTATTGGAACTTGTGCAATTTGGACTGGAGATGGTGTGATGTGATTATTTTTGTCATTATTGTGCATATTTTGCCAATAAACACAAAAACAGTCTTACCATCTCCTGAGGTGCCAGAAACAGGTGCTAATGAGAGAAACAAAGGGAAATAAATGGTTAAGGGAGGGTGGAGGGGAAAAGGCATTATCTTAGAACTGTATTAATGCTGAATTACCACAATAGTGTTGTGACAGAAATGGCAGAGAAGGCAAAGAGGAAGAAGCCAAGAGCAAGATTATTCTCTTTAAATCCTGAGGGCATTAAGAGGTCTAGAGCTTCTGCCCTACCGTTTGGAAACACATGACACACACATGACACGCCCCTTCTGTGCCTTTCACAGAGATGCTTTTATAACAACAGACATATAAAATGTCTGAAGAAGACAGATACCCTCTTTATCTCTCTCTGTGATCTTTGATTTGATCCATATGCAAACAATCCTGGTATATTCTCCTGTGGTGCCTGACTGCATGTGCCTGTGAGATAACAGCGTGCTTCAACTTGCTGAAGCCATTAGTAACACAACGCTAAAGAAGTGCTAGATTATAATGATTATACAGACTTAGATGAATCAGCTTTAGGATGGGGAACTGAAAGCAAATGCTGAGAGACGCTGCTATGGGAGATTCTTTTGTTCCTGCTTTGTTGTCAGATTGCCTTGTGGCTAGTAATTAAACTGAACCCAGGAGGTAAAACAAGTTAATTTGATTTCTGATCATGGGAACAAACCTCATTAGATTACAATGGCATTCTCACATCACAGAGATCTACTAGACAAATTTCTTAAAACACAGTCTACAAGGCACAGTCTTCAAGTTGTCAAATGCTACAGACTGTCTGACTGCAATTCAATTAGCTGATCTGCTCAAATAAGGCAGGGAAATAAAACCTAATTATGACTTTTCTAAGAAATGTGTTAATGCAATTTAGCTAACAATTATTGTTAAGATTTTATATGTACTAGTGAAAATATCTGAGGAGAAAAACAGATATCTTTGCTAAATGCAGTATTAATCCCTGTAGGAAAATCCTCTTTTCATTGTTCCGCCCAAGAGGAATATCTTCCAGATGCTCATGAAAAGCATGTTGTCTCTCTAAAGCAGTATACTACACCATCACATGTTAAACTAATTAATGATAATATCAACCATTCTAGAAGCTCTCCCCACTTCGGTCCCTCATGGCCTCAAGCGAACGCCCCTTGATACAGATTGTGAAACACTATCGGCTCCAAGGGTGTGACAGTGAACTAGTGTTGACTTAGATTAAAGGATACTGTCTGTCAGGAATCATATCTTATTCTGACGTATCCACTAGGGGAAAACCCAAGTGACTAATAAACCACGTGTGACTCAGCCTATAGAACAGTTTTAGACTAAGCAGGGCGAGGCTATTTATTTTTTAGGAGTGACAGAGCTTCAGAGGTATAATTACCCAGTGAGCCATTCTCTCACCTTAAAAGATGCGAACACACTGAGAATGTACTGTGCTTGCAGGGGAATCTGTTACAGCTGAGAGCCTCTGAAATGTGAGCCAGGTTTTACTCAGGCCCTCTCATTCTATCTAGCTTCTTTCATTCTTACCTTGCCTTCCCACAAACCTGAACATCTTCTCCTCTCTACCATTTTCCCTTATTTCTGCTCTTATCTCTCTGTCCTTTTGTTCTGACACCTCTGATTAGTTTCTATGCTCCCTCATCTCCACCTTCTCCTGTTTTCTCAACCCTTCTCTTGTCACCGCAGGGGGATATATAGTCCCCTGACATTTCTCAGGTAGAAGAAACCCTCCACGGCAACCATCTCCTTAAGACACAGCGGCACCACCTTTGTTGGTTGTTAGCAGTACTAAGGGAGAAGCTAATGGCCAGCCAAGCATAAAATGACTATTCTTGAGTGATGGAGTAGAAGATATAAGCAGATATAGACAAAGAAAAACTAAATTTTGGACTGGAAATGCTAATATGAGATCAGTGTAAAGGCCAGAAGACAAAGAGCAAGAATTCCAGTTTGAGAAGGGGGAGAGAATGGAAACGAAAATACAATTACAGATGAGGTTAAACAATAGAGGGTGACACCCTGATTGCGATCACACTGGGATCATTTTGGAGGTGTCCTTACTTATATCACCTCTAATTCAAGAGGTAAAACTGTCTGGGCCAAATCCCACTTCACACACTTCCTCAGTGATTTGTGCATCTCATCTGTTTCCTACCAATTTGTTCAGAAAATGACGAGAGGCAGAAAATGGTACAGTACATGATAACTCATGTAAGCAGGATGTACATTTTTAACTGATAAATATTATGACAGAAATCATTTTGGCCTCTCCGGGGGTCAGAGTGGAGATGTAAATACACAACACATGCAGATTCTTCACTCATATCCTAGCCAGTTTCCATTTCTAGTTTTAAAATACTATAGAGGAATCAACATTTCTAAGCAATTAAACAGGTCAGCTTCTTTGTAAATTCACTGTTACTGCAGTTAATGAGATAAACTGGTTTTAATTATGTTGTCCTGAAGCGCTCTTTCTGAAAACCAATTATTTGTGGTCATTTGTTTGGCTGAACTGATACTTGGATCTAGAAAAGTTGATATGGCTGATTACTCTTTGGAAATTGTTCAAATGGCAGATGGAGAGGAGCAAAATAAAACTCTTTACCTGCATTCACATTGGATCCATCATCTTCGTCATCAACTGTTGTCAAAGACAGAGACCAGGATCACTGATTGATGCAAACATCTAAAATCCTCTTAGTAAAATGAACAATGTTACCATTATCAACAACAGTGCAGCTGCAGATAATTACAAAAGCAGAAAAGTTGTTTTCTAATCTCAAATATAAATTGTGCATTCACAGTTTAATTGTTCATATAAGAGCTGCTCCATCTCTGCTGGCAGAACAATCATCTGAATGCATGCCAGTTAAAGCATTGCAGTCCTCGCAACTTGTACAATCAGAAAAAAAATACAAGTCATTTTGTGTCAAAGAAATTGGAGGAGGATGTATATTTAAGAAGTAAAAAAGAAAAACATTCTGAGGGTCTTAATATTGGCTACTCACTTATCTGCTATATATTGAAGAATCTTATACTTTCAGTACAGGAGATTTATCATGATTTATCTGGTACGAGTGTGAAAACATGCACCTGAACCTAAAGCTGAATGTACACTCTCACCTGTGGGGACGAGGCCTTACCTGCTGTTCTGAGCTTTGGCGATCCTTTTCTCTCACGGACATCAGATACTTCCTCCTGCCCATCATCTAGAGCTGGTTCTGTTGCTGGCATGGTGTCGTCATCAGGTCCGCTCTATAAAATAGTGGTTACATAGCATATGAACATGTATAAAGGACACATTCACTTCTCAAGAGCAGAGCTTCTGATAAATATAGGTGATGCACACAGCATATCAGCATTTATATGGAATGTGGATGTTTGATAGACCACAGTGTATTTGTCAGAGTAGGTTTGAGCAAGATGCTGATTAAACCTTTCTCAAGCTAGTTATACTGACCTCCTCCTGACCAGGTGTTGTTTCATTGCCTGTAGTAGGTTCCTCCTCTTCCTTATCTGCGTCCTGCTCAGCTTCTGGATCAGCTGCTGGAGCTGGACAGTAGAGGCAAAAGCAGAGGAGGACAAGTACAGCAGTAGATCAGAAGTTTGTATTTTTATTTTTATCAACCATTAACCCAGAGCATAAGCAGGCTTTATGGGGGGGCAAGGCTTTTGTGTTGCTGTTGTGATGGACTCTGTAGCCAATTTTAGCATTTAAATACATTTTTAAAAACTGAGCAAAAAGATTTTTCTAAATTATTAATGTTATAATGAGAACGATATATAGGCTGTAGTTAATAACTATAGTTATACATTTGAGGTAAGTCTAGGCCCTGTGCTGCAGGTGTTTTTCCCAGGGGTGGATGTTCCACTGTCCCACAGTTTAGCTACAAGAGCTAATCTACTATCAGGTACACGGAGGTTTTAAGTCCGAGAAGTGTTTTTGTGAGTCTTGTCCTGTGCTCTTCTGTCTGATCCTTCAGAGTCGGGTGGACATCTACAGCCTGACCCGGGCTGTTAATGTTTCTTTGGAGTTAACAGAATAATTCGTTACGCTGGAGTCTTTGAGTAACACAGAGTAAGTGAAATGTGATCTGAATCTAATATCATACAAGAAATATTATAAACTGTTGCACAGCTACAAAAAACATGATTATCTGATATGAAAAATCTAAAGTAACATAACACTGGGTATGTCACAGCAACAGGAAAATTAGTATTAGCCTGTCAGAATATATTAATGTCATACCATTAGAAATTGATAGGGGTACTTTAAGCAGTACAGTATTTTCAGGTTATTTTAAGTTACTAAACTGTACCACATTCTGTATGTTCCCTATAGGGGGATTAAAATGATTAAAACTGTGAACTGAGTTTCTATGATCCAGTAGACATACAGTACCTGTGGCAATTTCTGTGCTTTGATTATAAACAGTGTTATTGATCAGGCTACTTTGGCTATTCAATGACAGGGTAAGAGTGCATAGACAAAGCTCCAGCCCTCCTCTGCCAGTAGGCCTGACCCAGAGTTACGGCATGCTCTGCTGTGGCTGTTGTGTTTTACTGCAGCTTGCATTGATCACCTTGCGTTGTTGTAGCTTCTCCAGTCATTGTGTCTGCTGCTAGGTCTGCATCATCATCTGCAGGAGTCATTGGTTCTGCGTCATCGTTTGCAGGAGTCGTCGGTTCTGCATCATCGCCTGCAGGAGCTACAGGCGCTGTGGGTTCTGCATCAGCATCTGCATCAGTATCTGGAGGAACTGTCAGTTCTGGATCAGCATCTGCATCAGCATCTGTGGGAGCTGTCAGTTCTGCATCTTCACTTGCAGGAGTCGCAGCTGCATCATGATCAGCTTCAGGCTCAGCAGTGGGCTCAGGCTGAGACTCAGGCTCACTCAACCTTGGTGCCACATCCTGTATTTGGCATAACATTTACAGTACATATCTTAAAATGATATTCATATAATGATATTGTCCTGAAAAGCAAATCTCCAAACTTACCGCTTCAGGCTCAGCAGTGGGCTCAGCAGTGGGCTCAGGCTGAGACTCAGGCTCACTCAACCTTGGTACCACACCCTGTATTTGGCATAACATTTACAGTACATATCTTAAAATGATATTCATATAATGATATTGTCCTGAAAAGCAAATCTCCAAACTTACCGCATCATCATCAGCTTCAGGCTCAGCAGTGGGCTCAGGCTGAGACTCAGGCTCACTCAACCTTGGTACCACACCCTGTATTTGGCATAACATTTACAGTACATATCTTAAAATGATATTCATATAATGATATTGTCCTGAAAAGCAAATCTCCAAACTTACCGTTAAGTGGGCTTAATGGCTAAGCAGCTTGAAAAATGGCAGGAACAGAGCAGGAATAGGCTATAAGTTTATTTCAAGCCTATAAACTTATGTTACATATAAACCTTCTATATCCAACCAAGAAATAATGTGAGGCACAGTTTTCAGCTGTTTGATATGTCTCCACATGTCAAACTGTATTAAGGCTACTGTTAAGTTATTTTCAGAGGACCCAGACCCCCCCATAGTGTTCCTGGCTAGGCAAGATTTTGGTGTGAGGACCAAGAAAGTTAACAATGTCACAGACACCCAAACTTAGAAACTAACCAACTAACTGTATTTACACTGGTCTTTTGCTAGGTTCTTACATAATTTATTCATTTTCTCATAGTCATCTCTCCTTCTAGACTCAAACAAAACAAAACAAACCTCCTCCTCCTCCTCCTCCTCATCTGGGGCAGGTTCTCCGTTGACCTTGGGGGCTGCATCTGCTTCAGAGGGTGTGTTCTCATAAGCTGTTGGGTCCTCTGTTGGGTCTGTGTCATCTACACAGAGATGTGTGAAAGAAGAAAGCACCAGAATATTGAAGAAAGAGCACACATCCAGTGAAGTGCTGACTACTGAGACAGGGCTGTCCTGAAACCCTCGTGCTTCAATAAACATCACACAAGTACCATTTTCACTTTGAAAAGAAGAAAGGTGGCAAATGGCCAAACCAAAACTCTGACTCAGTGTAACCATTAGTAATTAAAAACTGTTAATCTGTTGTCATTTATAATCTTTAAAATTATCTGTCTGGCTGTGAAGATGTGCATTCAAAACATTCTTTAAAGTGACTATCACCACAGATAACACACACACACGCATACATGTACACAGAGCCACACACTGGCCTGAGTGGTGTCTGATGTTAAGGCTCCAGCCACAGTATAATGATCTGGCCTGTCTCAGCATCATAAGTCTTTACCTGAGCAATGACATTGCATCTCTGTACTAATGAGAAAATACAAAGAGCATGGTGTGTGTGTGTGTGTGTGTGTGTGTAGAGCTAGTGCTGTCACATTCCCCTGTTGCATGCGAGAAGCTGAAACAGCAAAGTCGGACTTGCTTCTCACTTTGCTGACTTCAGCAGCACTGTGATGCTGGTTCATCTGGGCAGTGCCTTTCTCCAAATACAAATACAACCCATTAGCTAAGACATAATGTAGCCATCTATTAATTACAGTATGAGTGAAGCTGTTCTTCAGGTTGGAAAAAACTGTAATGCCAACACTGACAAAAGTAACTAATCAGAAAGTAATGCCAATTACCAGGACAATGCTGCTCAGTAGCAAAACTCTCTTTCTCAGTATTTGTACATAAAATAATTCATCATCATTTTTTTGGCAGTTTATTGCCAAGCACATTTCCAATGAAAGCTTGGTGTGTTTGCCAAGCGCAATTGTATCAGAGCCAGTGAAGCCTTGAGGGAGAGAATGAATATAGCTGAAGAATTTCCATCACACTATAAACCCCCTAGAGGCCAGCGGCACCGTGACACCCTGTAATTCTTCATGCACACAAATACAGACATTCATTTATCAGAAAAAATCCATACACACACGTAAGCGCACACCAGCATGGCTAAATACACACCACATGTGCTCATGCACTGAAAAGCGAATAACACGAGGCACGCAGATGTACAGCATGGTTACCAACACAGTGATAATAACAAGCTCTTTGTTTCTCTTACTCCCTGTTTTTCCAGTGAATGTCACTGAACCAAAACAGCCAACTTGAATCACTGCATTCAGATCTGAACAGAACTGCATGTGAGAGTGCACGTACATGCAGGTACTGTATGTCTGTTTCACTATCTTCACAGCCCGTTCATCAAGGATGTACTGTAGCATGTCATTCAAGGTAATGAGGTGGAAATACGTTTAGATGCCAGCTGATCGCTCACCAGCGTACAGGAAACATGCCCAGTAACTTTTTTTATTGGTATATTTAGTTGAGTTGTTAAACTCGTTTGCTTTTATTCATGTAGTTATGCTTATGTTTTCACTTAAGTGTATGTGGAGGTGAGCTGGTACTTCTTCCCATGGCATTTTACTTACAGTATCTGCACGTGTGTGACAAATATGGTTCTCATATAACTCCACTGTGTGTGTGTGTGAGAGAGAGAGAGAGCGCCTGCCCCCACACACACACAAACTCTCCCTCTCTTTTTATCCTAGCGCTCTATAGAACATTCTGTTCCCATCTATCAGTTTGCCACTTCCTCCTCTAACTACCGCTATTACAAATACACTCATATATATCCCCCACCCACCAACGCACACTTGCATGCATGCACACACGTGCATTAAACCCCTTTTCCTTCTCCTTCAGTTCAAATGTACAATCAGATGTTCACACACGCGTAAAGATTATTAGCTATTGAATCATCTGATAGAAACCGTCGCATGTAAGTTCACGCTCACACTTGAGTAAGCAGTGTCCTGTTTTGCGCAAGAATGAAACAAACTGTTGCACATCATAATCATAACCTCTCTCACTGCTTCCCTTCTTTTCTTTTTTTCTTGAGGCCGTCTCCTGCCTTTCCTCTCTGTCTCTCTACCAAACACTTTACTCCCTCTGTTGCTCTGCCACTGCTTCCCCTTGAGGCTGATGACTCATTTGTGTATTGTATCTCTGACACGGCTGCACGCTGTTGTGTGGGACTGTAGAACATGTGTGGTGTTAAACTGCATATTCTCCACATGCTTTTCCCCAGAGGAAAACTCTCAAGTCAAGCCAGTTTACACATGTGGGGAAATAATACTGTTAATTACCATGTATTTTTGTTAAGACTAGTCAAGTGGGTTGATACACTGGTAGCAAAGCTTATAGCCAGTTCTGAAGTAGCATAATCACCCAGTGAACCACAACTTTCCATTTTTACACTTTGGTTTTTGTACAGATTGAACAAACAAGACATATAGTACCATGGAGAATTCATGGACAGAGCCATGTTTCCCCCTGTTCTGGTCTTTATGCTAAGACAAACTAAAGGGCTTCTGGGTGTAGCTTTACATTTAGCGTACAGACATTCTTCTTCTAATCTTCGAAAGCAAATAAGCATGTTTCTGAAAATGCCTCGCTATTCTGTTAAACGTCTATATAGTGAGCAGAAGACAGTATTCTAAGACCTAAAATTTTGAATGAATTTTTTGAATAATGGGTAACTTGAAGCGAAAAGTAGCTGATAACAAGCATAAAAATGTTTCTGTGATTAAAAAGAAAATAAACCTTTCTTGCTGAAACACTGAAAACACCCCTTATACAATACCATTATAATAAGATCCATTTCCCAGGTCATTATGTTCCAGCAAGCGAAATTTGAGGCACTGTGAACGCTGTACTGTACATCAACATCAGCCATGAACACACATCCCAGTGGAACCGCTGCAGTCATGCAAATACAAAGACAGTTTGCTGAAAATTCAGCCATCACATCAGGTTTGCTACAAGTGGAGAAAACATACTGGACCTTGTTAACGTTCCAGCTGTTTCTGCTCATGTAATAGTACTCGCAATTATCTTTAAGTGATGTTTGTACATGTTAGTTTTTAATTTACAGTGTTCAAGTGTACGTCTCTACGTACTTGGGGTTTTTTTGGATATATGTATGTTTTGTACTTATATGTGTTGCACTGGGCCCATGAGGAACAGTATTACATTTCCCTGTATATAAAAAATGTCACGCATGTAGAAGTGGCAGTAAACCTGAACCTGAACCTGAACCTGAACCACCACAGTGGGCACGCTGCATGTATCAGCATGCTCTGCAAACAGCTCTGTTGGTAAGAATGAAAATTGTTCTGGAAAGAGGTAAAAACAGGGTTCATAAGAAACATGGCTGATTAAAAGGGAAGACATACTGTACATGCAGTATTAAATTGCTTAAACGTATGTGATAAGAGTGGAATAGCCCTATACCATGGAGACTGTCCCTTAAGTGTACATCATGTTTCACACACTTCATGGAAGTGTCAGGGCCAGTGCCCGATGCTGGTACTGCTGTTCTGATATTCAAAAGATGACGTGATGGAACCATCTACCTTGGCACCTGGTGAAACATGATGTACAAATTCAAAAGATGATGTGATGGAACCATCTACCTTGGCACCTGGTATCACTTCTTGGAAAGCCCAATAATAGGAACTGAAATTATTTTCATTTCTCTCATATTTACTGCTTGTTTTCTGGATAACAAAAGAACAGCTACGTCAATGCACTTCACTTTCAGCTATGTAATGCGCAGGACTTCCCGGTCCACATGACATAAATTGGAGTCTGATGCAAGTTAGAGAACAAAGGGAGAGAAGGAAATGGTTCTTCTGACTTCTTTTATGAGATTGCTGTACCTGTTGTGAGTGGCTGATGTGCAGTAATAATACAAGTACAGGCATGTATGTACCCAATAGCTTAAACCTTGCCTCATAATAGAAACTGCATGTGTGTCAGATATACACCACATTGTTCTGCGAGGTATGGTTCTTTTGTATTTATGGCACAAAAAGTGCTGTGTCAGTCATGCACACCTTAAAACTGCCTGCATGGGGGCATGTTGGTTGTTTAAGGTGTAAACACAAGTCTGCACAAACTAAACGACACTTTTTTCTTTCGCCTGCCTCTAAGACTCATGCATTCTATAACCAGCTTGCACACTCACTTCTACACGTCCATCTGTAGATTAAAATCATTAGAGGTATAAACCCCCCCCCACACACACACACACACGCACAGGGGAGAGAGAGAGAGGGATGCTGAGGACCCTGAGGGAGAGGAAGGTGCTGAAACTAGTTCTGTTACTGGGTGTTGTCTACAGCTGGCACTGGATATAGTTACCACGACACTCCCTATCATTCACTGTTACAACTTACACACACTGTAACTGAACTAGCATGATCATCTGTTTAAGTGTGACTATGAACTGGGGTACAAACACATGTATGCAAATGAGCAACCGCACCCAGTGAGTTTTCCTGTCCTCAGTACACCAGTATTCACTAGGTTTCCAGTGAGGTTACAGTTCAGTAATTACTGTGTGCCGTAAAGAGAAAGAAAAACAATGGAACGTGTGAGACTGCTTTCTCTCTTGTGGTTTGTCTGCTAATATAATGTGAACTGGTAGAGTCAGATTGCACCAGATCACATCCAAGTGCACCAACGTTCAACTGAAATTCTGTTTGTTTAATAACAACAAGGCTCACTGTTACTCTCTCTCTTTTCTTCCATGTATATCTCTTGGTTTTCACCCTCTCCAGTGGCTACAACATTTCTCTTTTATCTTTTTCCAGCATCTCCCCTACTTTCCCTCTATTTTCCCCCCATATCTGTTTTGGTCTCAGTGCTTCCTTTCTCCCCCTCTGAGTTGCAACGTGCGTTTGAACAAACTGAAATCATTGCATGTGCCATAGGGAAGGGAAGGGACCCATGGGCCGGCTGAGGACGAAGGAAAAGGAAGAGGAGAGAGCAAAAAGAAATAAAGAATGAAAGATACAGAGAAGCAAATTGAGATGAAAAATTTAAAAGGCAAGAGGGATCAAATATACAGATAAACGGGAGAAACAGGATGACACAGAAACGAGAAAGAATTACTTATTGCAAGGACAAAGGGTCCACCACACCCCTGTGGGCCAGAATTTATGACCAAAAGGAGACGGCCACGTTACATGACACACCTATTTCATTGATACTGTCTGGGCTGCAATGAACACTTACACTAAGGATTAGGAGTGTGTGAGCTTTTATAATTCATGAAGTCAAAACAGATTAAAACATGCAGAACACGGATAAACGTGAACTGACATGCTGGTAGAGAGACCAGCTAAAGAGGCTGGCAAGTGCACACACACACACACACACACACACACACACACACACTGGGATGGACCAGTAATGAGGAACACTGGCAAAGGAAAGAGAAAGAAAGAAAATCAGGTGAGAACCAGAGGAGGAGAGAGAGAGAAATGGAGACCAAGATGAAGATGACCAACACATTGACATACAGGAATGCATATGGATAGATAGATATTTGAAGTACATGCAAATGAATAAACACACCTGCATGCAGCCAAACACTACGCTGAATTAGCTAGATATAAATCATTACCTTGTGCTCTGGCGCTTGTGGCCAGCAGGCTTCCTAGCAGCAGAATCCACAGGTATGACATCATGGGAACACGGCGCAGCGAATGAAACTGGGACCAATCTCCTTTTTCTCGGCCTTCAAACAGGACAATTAACCGGCTTGGGACTTCAGGTGGTACTGGAGGGCGTGCGTCAATGTGCTGGTGCGTCGGATCAAATCCGTGGTGTCTCCAAGGTGCTTTGGTGCACAGCCCAGTGCGCGCCGCCTCTAATCGTCCTCCCCTTTTGTCTGGATTGGGAGAGAAATCCAGTCTTGATTAACGTGGGCGGGTCTCTTCGCCCACGTACAAGCAGACAGGCAGCGGGGCCTAGTGCACGGTGCTGTGATGGCATCAATCCCCCCGCTAATTGGTAATGGTTTTGCCAATATCATTCCTATGTTATGACTGTTACAAACAACTTGTACTCGTGTTTAGTGCGACAAAACAGTCAAAGCTCTCATTCAAGTAATCATCCCGTTAAACACAGCGCAATGATGTAATAACGTATCTCGGCTGTAAAAGCGGAGCCACACGTGTCCCCGTTATTTTAATAATAGTCTTACTGCATTTGTGCGATCTTAATACTGAATTATGTTGCATTCCATCTGCATATTATTTTATTGCATGTATTTTTCTGTGGACCCTCAATTGCTGTGTCCATAATAAAGGTTGTTGTTAATGATGATAAGATCCAAGTATCCTAAAATGAATGGAGACGTGCTGTGATGATTTCCCATATCAACATCCTTAGGCCTATAAAACACTACCATATAAAGTTATAGGATCGCTATGATTTAGGTACCGTCTTGCAGTATGACAAGCCTGTCATTTATTTGGATTTATTAAAATATCAGTCACCTGTGAAGAGCTCACGGATTTGCTTTTACATTTTGAAATGTAAAAGTAATGTTAGGTTTCTATTTGGGAAAACCACACATGACTTCATGCAAACCAAGCAGTAGGTGGATCTGAAAAGACTATTTTCTTTTCCTCATACTCATCTCCTGGAAACTAGTTTCTCTAAAACGCTTCTGTGCCAAATTGAACTGTTTTACTGGTTCAGATCGGCAGATGGCGCCATTCATTCAGAAGTCAATGTCTATTATCAATCAAATACGTGGCGATCAAATGTCATTTACAGGAACATTTTTCAGTCTTTTACTTAAAAAAAAAGGATGTAAAACTTATAGTCTTCATTCCATTTTTATGGTTGAACCCTGTCTTTCCACTCTCCAGCTCTCCCTGTGTGATTTGATACCTTATGCATGAAAAGACTAGATAGGGAAAAAACTGGTTGTAACATGAGTGTAAATACATAAACATGCCCATCTATATTTCACCACAGGTATCATGGGAAAAAACTCAACCCTAACATAGGAAACTAAGGCTGTGTGTTATTTTGCCATAGATGAATTACATTTGATTCAGTGTTCCCAATTGAAAGCCAGTTTCTCACCACTCTAAGCCCTGAAGACACACCGTACCAACTGCCAATCAAGCAGCTTGACTCAGTCATCTGTAAATGTAGCAGCCACATGGTTGTATCATCTTTCACTCCTTTGTACATTATTTAGCATAAAACACAACAAAACAACTAAAAATGAAAATGGTTTAATAGTATCTTAGCCACAGGTATTACAGAAACAAAAACACTCCCTCACTTAACAGGTTTGTTATAAAAAAACAAAACAAAATCTCAATTTGTAATTATTTCAGTCAACTGATTGTTTATTCTGAACAAGGTAGGATTTGATGTTGGGAAAATAAAAACAATTTTCAGATGTTAAATCCATTTTGTACCTTTTTTCCAACCTCATATCTTAAGAGAAAGGTTTAAGTAGCATATACCTTGTACATCTGCAGGTATAGTAAAGGAAATCATGAGGATTCAGCATTTCTGAACTTCCACACTTTGGTCAACACTTTTCTTTTTCTGAGGCACTGCTTCAACACAGGTCTATTATTTATTGTAGTTGTATCTTATCAGAAACACTGACAACGGGCAGAGAAAGTCAACAACCTTTTGTACTTCCCCATTGTACAAAGCCAATGTTTGTATAAAGGCGATAAAACTTAACAGCAAAGAAAAGGTCTGTATGTGTGTAGCTTTTACTGTTCTAGTTGGTACATTAAGGAGGTTTCTGGAGTTGTCATGTTTCAGTCCTTCAAAAGATCTCCCAAAAAGTGTGAAAACCCTTGCCAGAAGTAGAATCTATAAAAGTAAAATATGGAAAAGCACACACCACAGTTAGTTTCCATGTGTTTTAAGCCAGGTGACTCTAAAATGAGTCAAATTAGCAGCTGGCTGAAATGTGCAGCTCCTCTCTCATGAGTGAAGTAGCACTCTGCTGTGCATTCGTCAGTCATGAGAAGGTTGAAGAGGTTTACAGGTCAAAGACCCTGTGCTGCTCTACCCACCGTGCAGCTATCATGCATTATTATTGCAGGGTTTTCCTCTTGGACATGCTTTCAGCTAAAGAGGAGTCTGGGAAATTTGGATCATTTGCAGTGTGAAGGTTACATCAGAGATAGTGGTGCTGGTGAGTTAAACGGCACGAGCTCATTAAATGACTTGGTGCCTTGTTCTAAATAAATGTGTGCGTGAAAGAAAAAGAGAAAATGAGAAAATGAGACAGTATTTTTCTCTTTGGCCTCAATTTAGCATAACAAACCGAGTGAAGGCAATATTTGGCGCACATACTCCATAAGACTGTAGTGTACTGGTCCCAGTCTGTGCAATCCGACCGACTATTGCTTTCGTGCTTCGTGATTGGCTGGAACAGTGGCTCACATTTTGCTGAAACACTCCTTAGCATTGGACCACACCTGGATTCCCTGGAAGAGTTAAGAAAGGACAGCTAAAGTAACAAAAACAGGCGAGTCAGCATCACAAAACGCCCTTTGAGCAGGCAAGGACACATAAAAAAAAAACAAAAAAAGAACTGTGGAGATTAGTATAAAAACAGAACCCCATACCTTCTTACACATGCTGATCTGCACGACAGCATAACTGATTAGCGCTTCGCGCAAATCTTTGTCCTTCTGCTCCTTAAAACGTTCGATGTCTTCCCAGGCTGTTCGCACAAACTCTCTGAAGACACAATCACAAACACACACATGGTTATCAGACATTCTGTGTGAAGGAGAAGGACAAGGCATAGAAGGACAGAGAACAGAAGATGAGGTAGAGGAAGAACAACCTGAACACAAAATTCACAGGTTGGCTTGTTCCTTACTTATATGCTACTTCCTGCTTTTGTTTTATTTATACAAGTAGCTTTTGTATTTGAAATGCCTGAAGTGAAGCATATTAGACAACAAAGCACATTACATATTTACATACAGAAGAAAGAGGAACACACGTAATTACAATCAGTCTTACTGGCACTCTGCGTTCTTCTCTTTGACTGTTTCCTCGCCCTCCTGGATACTCTGCTCCAGCGCCGCCAACCTGATCTCCCTCTGCTCCTGGCTCTCCTGGCCAAATAGTTTACTGGTCATCCCCTTCAGAGAGAAGACTCGCACGATCTACACACACAAAATAAAATCCAGAGCGTGACATTTATGAGTATTTTCATTCATGTTTTCATTAAAAAAAGGTTGAATAATGTACAGTGCCTGTGAATAACCTTGACCCATGTGTGTAGTGCCTGTGTATTTCCCCAAATGTGTGGAGGAAAATGAGACATAACAAGCCAGTGTGTGCTAGTGTGTTACCCCAGTAGCCAGCTCTTCTTTCTGCTGTTTCTTATAGGCGAGGTCCTGAGCTGCCATCTCCAGATCGTACTGGCTCAACTCATGTTTCCTACATACTGACCTTAATACACACACAAACACACAATAATATTTTATATACACAGTTTCAGCATCCTGTGCAGCCAAGCCCAGTCTTAGAGAATGTCAGGGTCACTTACATAAGAAACAATCAGGAACACGACAGAGAGGATTGTTTTGTTTGAATCCTTAAGGTTAATTCCACTTTACCGCAAATAGACTTTTTAAAAAGTCTTTTTATAGAAAGACTTTTTCAAACCAAATGGGTATATAATCTACTGAACTCAAAAACCTATGAGGCCATAAAGAAACCTTAGTACCTACTTGCTACGTTTTGTGATGACTTGTCTCTCTTTTAAACACAGACACTTACCTGACAGCATCAGTGTAGAAGAGGTATTCTTTCACTTGGTCTGCATAGTGCTCTTCCTCCTCCAGAATGTCATCTATTGATGCAGCATACCTGTACACAACATACAAGGTCACATTCACTAAATGAACCTGTGCCAAAATGCGTTAGGTGTAAGTGTGTGTGTGAATGCGCCTCAACCTGGGACCGGTCTATTACTACTATAAACACAGTGAAATGTATGAGAGGCTGCGCTAGTTGGAGTGTGTCTGTGGTCTACCACTTACGTATCCATGTGGTGACCAGCACTCTGTAGCCCGTCTCCCATCTCTTTTTCTATAGCACTCCACTCACTGGAGAGATAACAGATCAGGTGGACTTTACTTGAAGCCTAAAGAGTTTCTCTTATAAATAATCAACAGACAAACTGGTGCTTTGTGTGCTACCATTTGTGCATCCACTGAGTCGATCAAAGATAGCTGGACACAATAAATGCACCAAATGTCTTATGGCTTGTTAATGCTATATTTTGTTTACATGTATAGTACTGTGCTCTTTTAGGCTAAAACTATTATTTTAATAATGTAGAAATGCAGTACCAAGACAACAGGTGTTTCTTACCTAAAGACTCGGCCGTAGTTACCATGGACCTTGTAAACGCCATACAGCCTGTCCGCCACTCTCTAAAACCAAACCAATCATTAGGAGCGATGTTTGCTATTTCAAACAATTCCTTAGTTGATATATTTGTTACAAACATTGACTCAAATGACTACTTGAAAATGTTTACTGAGAATCAGCCCACACTTGCTATCAGACACAACTTTTTAACTTATCTTTATAGAGAGAAAAAAAATATACCCTGCAAAATACTGGTTCATAAATAGATTCAGGCGCCAATCACAGCACGGGGGCTCGCATAAGTTGATCATGTATTAACTGCCTCTGACAGAATGGGTGAGGTGAAGTAACTGATGAACAAAGTAAACTACATACTCAGATCATTTTCTTAGGCAGGGGTTTGGCAGACTAAATGTTGGTAAAACGTGGACCTGTACAGGCAGTCAGAAAGGGGATGCCCATGTTTTACAATATAATATGCAAAAAGCATAAACCACAGGCCAAACCTGAAAACTGAGTTATATAAAGGTGTGTGTGTGCATGTGTTTGCATATTCCAGAACTCACCGCCCGCACCCTGAGTAAATGAGAGATGACAGTGTTTAGTTCATCACTGTACTGCTTCAGTGCTGTGAAACGCCTGAAAAACATAATAAATGAGTCATGAATCAAACTGCGTTTAACTGAATCTAAATATTTCACCGATGTGAGTTTTACACCTACTTGTCAGGGTTCTTGACTCTGAACATGGCGCTCAGAGATTTTAGTCTGGAGTCAACCTGGTGGAGAACAAGATCGCACATGTCAAGCTGGGTTTTATTTTGCATACAGCACCACAGGAGATTCTTTGAAGAGATGCCTTTGATATGATCTATGACGACACCTTTTCACTATCACAAAACAGATGCGATTAAAACATTGACAGCAAGTCAACAAGAACAACTGACTGGATGCTTGTGAAAGCAGATGAGTAATATCCAAAAAAAAAGAATAACAAGAGATAAAAACACTTTACCTTGTCTTGGAAACCTGTCTCCAAAACAGCCTCCCTCCATCCCTTCTCCTGAGGACAGATGATTGGCACATAACAGACAGGAATTTCAGTTATACTGTGTAAAAAGGGGGCATTCGCTGATCGTCCTCATCACACATGAACTGGCTAATGTAAGTGAACCCACTGTGTCTGATAAGCACTTTGACAAAAACAGTAAATCATATTAATACTAGTGGATGTGACAAGTTCATTTTTCATTACAGTCTTTTAAACATGTTAACAGCCAAAGGCACAGATGGCTTGGCTGCATTTTTACCAAAGACATGCAGAGGAGGTCAAACCTGCATGGGCCCTAATATTTCAATTTTTCATTACAGTCTTTTAAAGATGTTAACAGCCACAGGCCCAGATGGCTTGGCTGCATTTTTACCGAAGACATGCAGAGGAAGTCAAACCTGCATGGGCCCTAATATTTCAGACGTCACTGGATTCTGCAGCTGTACATTATCTCTGGAAAAGGACAACAATTACATCCCTACCTGTTTGCTTATAGGCTTATAGAACTTCAGAGCTTTCACCAGACACCTCTTTGTAGATTTCAGCTCTGCATCCTCCCTGCAACCCCACATCCTCCTCATTCACTGCAGCAGCTATGGAACTGCTCTCTCCTAACCATACTCAGTAAGTCAACCTTAACAATACATCTCTACATCTGTAAAAAAATACTCAGACAGGCACTTCAGAGTCCCTCAAAGCAGGCTAAGCAAACACCTCTTCATCCCTCATTCCATTAAAGCCTTAACCAAACAAACCAACCATAGCAAGGTTTGACTGTGAATGTTGTTGCTGATGATTATGCACTGTTCTCTGTGCTGAATGTGGGCAAATGCAATCAGTAATAACATCAGGGGCTAATGCAAACCACAGACTTTTATGCATCCCTGAGTGCTGAATCTTTTGAGATGTTTTTTAATATTTTTAGTATTCATCTTGAGTAAATCATTAAAAAAATATCAAGGTATTTAATACCTGTACAATGTTTATTCCTGTTCAATTATTTGGTACTGTACAGCAGCAGAACTGTGTGCCCTGGCAGAATAAAGTCTCATCAAATCACCATATTCTTATATCCATACTGACAAATAAACAGCAAAGTATCAGTTTGTGCTAGTAGGTATTCAGCCTGGTATCAGTACATGCAGTAGCTCTGTGACACATATTATCACTTTGAAACCACTGTTTGTATGACTGTTGTATCATATTTCCTCTCTATTTCTTATCAATTAGGCAATATCCAAAGTTAACACCAATGCATTCTCTTCAACTGTTGCTAATGTCAGTTTGAAATCTCTGTGAAACTGTGACTGTGCACATTTGTGCATGCAGACTTTAAAGGGAAATTATGTGATGCAAGACTGAATGCTAACCTCTGTGAGAAAGCGGAAGAAGATTTTGTCATTAGAAAGGACAGGATGTGATGCAACACGCAACAGAAAGTTTTCCAGGCCGACTCTCCGTCGCTCAACAAAATCTGGGTCGAGGTTATCTGCTGACAGCTTGTGCCACACAAACTCTGCCTACAACAGGTCCGGGGAGAAAAAAGAAAAAGTAAATATTACTTAAAAGGTCAGGGTGAGGAAGGACTGGAGCGAAAACTAAGAAAGAAAAACTCAGTAAATGTTGCACAGATTAAGTTGTTCTATACCTAATTTTAATGATATGCAATCCATCTTAATTAGCTATAAGTGTAAATTATACATGCCACTCACTCTTTTCTCTGGTAGTGGAGGAATGATGATGTAGGGGTAGGTGACCAGGAGGTATGTCCTGAGCAGTTCAAACTCACTGTAGCGTCTCCACAGAGTGTCAGGTACGGCTGGTGTGCCTCCCTCAGGGACAGTTTCAGCTGGCCTATTATACAAGCTATGACATTTGAGCCACTGTACTTGTTTAAAGCAACCTGAGACACTGAAAGAGCAACATCGTACATCTAACTTTTCCAATGACATTTCCTGAGCAGGGCTTGGAAAAGACATTTCACACATACAGCACAAGTTGTTGTGCTGCTTGAAAATTTCACCAGGTTCAATTAAATAAAGTGTGTATTGTATGTGGCAAATAGTACTTACTGAAAAACATTATTTTACCCAATGACAAAACTTTTAGTCTATGCATTGTTAAGGAACATAAATATGTCAGCTGCAATTATTATATTTGGTCACGGTTTAAAAACACAGAGACAAAAGACCAAATTAAAACACCTGCATCTAAAACTTTATCCCTACATGAAAATGTCTGGCTTAATTACTCTGGGAAGATTATGAGATAAAATTGTGCAGGACAGAGCAAGTATGTCCTGGGTGCTTTTGATACTGATAAGGTTTAAGTGTAAACTGTTAGAATATGCTGTTACCCTATATCAGAATCAGTATGTAGAATGAAATGGTATCAGAAAACTAGATGTCCCACTTGATGACCTACCGTGTTTCTATGAGGTAGACAGTATAGGTCTCCTGCATGTTGACAGTGTTCTTCCCCGATCTCTTCTCTGCCTCTGTCACATTTATCTCCATTTTTCTCAACAGAGCTGTCTCTCTTTCCACCATCTACATACACACACACACAAAAACCAAACAAAAAACAGTGTGTGGGGACAAGAAAAAAAGAAAATTAGTGAAAGGGAAAGCAGAACATCAAGGTATGTGACAACTATAAGAGGGGATATCACATCAGGAAAGGTTACATCAGGTGAACGGACAGGTGTATGTAGACCAAGACTGTGGCTCTCAGAGGATAAGTGAATAAACTATTTTCCAGGGAGGGGAATAACGCTGTATTATATTAATCTCCATTCATGCATTCAAGCATGAAACCAGATAAACACAGGGGGCATGCGGTTGTTTTGCTACTGAAGACACCATAACAATGATCTCTCACAGAGGAAGATCTCACAGTGATCTCTTTACACAGGGTTACGGCATCTGTGCGCTCATCACAAGATTAGACTAGACACAGCTACCATCAAGGAAGGGCTGAACATGCATTTCTATCCGGAAATAGTCTTCTTTTACTAGTAACCACGGCTATTAAGACTGGACTTGCAGAACACAAAGAGGAATTAGACAAACTTAATATAAACAAAACTTTAGGCTTAGCGTTTAGCCTGCTAGCTAACAAGCTAACACCAGGAGTAAAGTTTGCAAAGTAACGTTAGCTTCAAGCTACAGTTAGCAAAAGCAACTATAACTCACTTAGTAATTTTATCGGCATTATGCCGTGATAACTGTTAAATGCAACTCTGGAGCCGGTCAACGTTCAATAACTGGAGCAGCTTTTGGAAAAGGCGAGTGGAAAAGTCTCCGTGGCTCCATGTCACTAACTCCAACTAGCTAGCACTGCGGTATCTGTTTGAAGAAGTTTTCACTAGACTGGCTTTTCACATTTCAGATATGTTTCTTATGTAAATAACAAAAACTACAACCGTGTTTATAAGGTTGTTCTCTGATTCATCTGATATGAGGTCGGTGTTACCAATCACAGCTATTTCTTCGCTACTTCCAGAGTCTGCCATCATAGCCGAAGTGTACCTCTGTTGTCAGCTGAGCTGGCAGACTATTTCCTTTCCTGTGCGCATGCGCTCTTTGAGGTGAAGCAGGGAATCGCTGACCAACATAATGTTTCGAATTAAATAAATGGTGTCAAAAGTAGTCAATGGATCCAAAAAAACCGAACTAACTATATAATATAAGAACAAGGTCTAACATAAACTAATACGGCAGCATAAACACAACAATGCAGTTGTTAGTGATTTAAATTAAGTGCAAGTAATCGGACCTTGGAATTGTCCTAACATAAACAATGCACAATAAAATTGTAATTCCCTTGTGTTCATGTGCACGTTTTCAAAACGCATAGGGCTAGGCCACAAGATGGTGATTTTTGATTGATTTATTTATTCTTTCAAGCATGTAAAGACAGTTGATATATCAACACACATAATTTCACACATATCCAACAAATGCTAATCCAATATCAATGTGCTTATACCTAGTACATGCTTGAATGGAGTAGGAAGAAGTCAGACTTATCCAGTCCTACCCCATGACATCATCTTACCATCATTGGTTTGCAAGCAGTATCTCTACATAGATAATTATCTTCTACACCACACAAGTAATATACTAAAGAATTATTACAAAGTGTTAACATTCATACACCACACCCACAATGTTCCATCTGGTTAATCATTAAGCCTGTTCTTGCATATATCTTGATTGACACATACCTTTATATTTATATTTAAACTCCTCAATTCTATTACTATTTTTTATGTCTACACTTAAATTATTCCATAGTTTTACCCCACTTATGGAAATACAAAATCTTTTTTTGGTTGTACGTATAGCATGAATTTTTAAATTTAACTGACCCCTTAGATTGTATCCCCCTTCCCTTTCATTAAATAGTTTTTGAATTCCACCAGGTAATAAATTGTTCCTGGCTTTATACATAAACACAGTAGCCTTATATCCCACTAAATCAAAACATTTTAACAATTTAGACTGTATGAAAGCTACATTGGTGTGATCCCTGTACCCCATCTTATGCACAATTCTTATCGCTCTTTTTGTAATATATACAATGGTTGAAGTGAGCTTTTGTATGTATTTCCCCAGTTTTCAATGCCATACTCTTTAAGTATGGTAAAATGGCAAACATATTTATGGTTTCCAAATATTTCTAATGATTACTTTCCTATGGCATAAATTGCATTTTCTTTGGCACCTTCCTATGGCAAGGCTGACATCTACTGGTGGGACTTCAGTAAAGGATTTGTTTAATTCCATTGTGGGGGTGGGGGGCATATATTTGTGCACTTTCTGTGGACATCTGATCCCATTGGCAGAATCCTATGTATAAATGTTTTCTCTGCAGAATAATTATCAAGTAGTTAGAACAGAACACAATATAATTATGGGTTGGCAGCCTAAACACTGAACCTAGATCAGTGTTTAAAATTAAGATTCTTGGGGTTAATTTTCATATCAAACAAAACAAACAAAAAACATGAACACATACACCAGAATTATCAAGTTTAAATTATTCTAACTTTTTTCTTCATTGATCATTTCCTCACTTTGGTTATATCATTTAGTCCCTCTCTCACTGACTGTAGAAGGTTGTGAGCTAAAATGTGAATAAGAAAGAAGTGTTATGGTATGCCTCAGGCTAGTAAACAGAACAGAAACATGGCTTTTTAGTTCCTGTGGTCACATTTAATGTTTAAAGAAAAGGGTGGAGTAGCATCTAGTAAGGAAGCATTTTATATAGATGCCATGTATAGAGTATGGTGTAGGAGTGCTATGTGATGGATGGAAAAAAGAAAGAGAAAGACACACAAAAAAAAACGCATAGAAATGGAAAAAAGCTGTAAAGATGAGATGAACTAATATAATGATTAGTTTTAAATTGATCAATGACACAGATGGAGTGATGGAGCGATGCGGTTTCAGACTGCAGCGTGTCAGAAAACCCAGACCGTGACCAGCCAAAGTCACAGCAACAGCATAGTTACAATACTTTCCTGCCACTGACCTCAAACCAGCCACTGCCACTTCCTGTCCGCACACACAGGGACACAGACACACCGCTGATGAGACACACCCACAAACCTCCAACCCAATTTGGCTAACTGTAATTAGCCATTTGACAGTGTTTTAGATCCCTGTGACCAATGCACAGTACTTGAAGCTACAGTAAGCTACTGTATGTACAATATGCGTCTTGTATATATCTGGAAGTTCTGACCTAAAGCTGCTGAGTAAGGCGTGGTGTGTATTGTATACTGAGTCATGGTATTCATGTCAAAATACTTGGAGACAGTGCATACAGTACCAAAAGGCAATTTAAAAATAGCAGATAAACTAGTATTACAACTACTTTTCAAACATATCACTGTGTACTAAAATGTTTAGGCCTGTTGTTTAGAAAATGTTTCAGTTCACTGGTTCATTTTACTATTATCTGTTGTTCAAATTAATTGCCTTTCTCCTTTGTATGTTCATTAGTTTAAGAAAAATGATTACACTATGTTGAAGTCTGACTGTTGGACAGCAGAGGGTAGCAAAAATCCAGTAATGCTGGTGTAGCCTACACCATACCTGTGGTGCACTGGTATGTGAATCAGAATCAGCACTACATGATGAGGCTACCACAATATGAGGCCCTTTGTTTACAACAGATATTTTGACTTGTAATAATAGCATTGGTGTTACAATTACAGTGACTTTGAACCTCTCAAATGCCCCAAATACAATAGTTATTCAATGGGTCAGCTCACATGAAAACCCTGAAACTGAAGCAAATAAAGCCATCATCAATATCATTTACACGTGTGCTTTTGCCCCATAACATGTCAAAATGTTGTCCATGAAAAACACCTGTAATTATATAATTATTTCATGCAATGCATCAGTAAAAATCCTTGTAATCTGTTACATTCCAGTATAAAATATGGGTCCCAGTTTGATATCTCAGTGAGAACATTTAGGTAACATATTCAGCAGCTGCATAGAGAATGTATAGAGTTCTAGCTAACTGCACTATTAACATTAATATTTAACATGTATTAAATCAATGTTACTGTAATGTGCATGGCCATTGCACACAATCATCCTGAGGCTGACTTCACTATTGAACAGTGAGTTTGTAAAAGTGAGTATTGAGTATATGAAACACCATGCAAGTGAATATTCTGCATTTGATTGTTGTTGAAATGAAATGTTTTAAAAGGAAGGCTGGATTAAACATTTATCTTTAGTTGTTTTTTGGTCTTTGCTTGTTTCTGTGGCCAGTTTTCTGGGGCCAGAATGAGACAACTTCATTCATGCTACCTGATTTGTCTTTGTTGTATTTTTCTTTTCTTTCTTTTTTTGTCATGATTAGTTTTAAGAAAGTTTGTACTGTAGGTGTGTGTGTTTAGTGTATGCACATGCCCCTGGTATTATATTCACATTGTGGAGTGAGTGTGTATTTACACACTAACATTGTCTGGACTTGGCTTTCCTTGTGGGGAAGTGGTGCTGGTCCCCAGCATGTAAATCATTAAATTTTAGAGTGATGACTTGGTTTAAGGTCATGATAAAGGTTAAACAAGTAGTGGTTATGGTTAAGGTTAAGGCAAGTCTCCAGGAAATGAATGTAAGTCAATGTAAAGTCCTTGTGAGGAAGGAAAATAATCGTGTGTGTGTGTGTGTGTGCTGTATATGAGAGTGGTCATGAAGGTCATAAAAAGGAAGTCCTTGTGGTCAACTGAAAGGAACATGTTTTGCTCCATGACATCGTCTCTGTTCTTCATTTTCCCCTTCATCCATCTATTCTTGCTTTTGACAGACTCATGCAGTGTGTCCAGTGAGCATGTATTTGTAACAGTGAGCTTGTGTGGTATGTGTATGTGTGTGTATGAAATGCCATAATGAAGTGAAGATTGTCTTATTTTGTTATTTATCTTATTTTACCTTTGTTATAGAAATGTCCATCACCTATTTTCCCCTTGATGGTGTACAGTCATGCTTTCTGTAGGCTTTTTCACTGGGGATTAGGAAACATTTATATTTGTATTTGTTTGTTTTCAAATTGTTTTGATAAAATCATTTTTATTTTATTATTTCCTAATGTTTTTATTATGTAAGTGATCCTAATTCACCTGTTCCCAAACTAGGCAGCTGGATGCTAGAATTAAGCCAGGCAGGGGTAAATAAAACTGATGTGTATGGTGGTGGGGGTGCTCACATAAAGGGGGCCCAGCAGAAAAAGGTTTGTCCTAATTATTTTCAAGGCTTTCAGTTTAGCCTTACATAAACAGATCTCATTCTATCCTCCATGCTTCTACCATTTAATCTACATTGTCAAATAAATGACCATATGTCAGCTGTCATGATTTTGTCCTGTTTGCTTCCTGTCATGCTTTTATTTTGATACTGCTTCCTGTCCCCAGCTCACCCTGACTCCCAGGAACTTTAGCTCATTATCCACATTGGCTTCACCTACTTCTGATTAGCCACACCTGCTCACAACAGTATATAGCAGCTTCTCACCCTTAGATTGTTCTCTGTCAGACTGTGCAGCGTTTTTATTTTATTTTATTTATTTATGTATTTATTTTTATTTATTTATTTTTGCCTGTATTTCCTGTTCTGACCCTGGATTGTGTTCTGCCTTGCCCCTCCTTGATTCGGACTGCTTTCTGTGTATGGATTATCGGACTTCCCTCTCTGACCTCTTGTTTGTGGATTCCTTGGTTGTGTAAGTTTGCTGGCTCTGTATTTTCGACCTGAGTGTGCGCATCGTGTTTACGTAGTTTTCTGTATTGTTTTGTTGTTCATGCTTTTATTATAGACAGTTTTTCACTTATCCTCATCTGGCTCTATAATTGAGTTCACCCTTTATATTATTGTGTAAGTTTGCTGGCTCTGTATTTTCGACCTGAGTGTGCGCATCGTGTTTACGTAGTTTTCTGTATTGTTTTGTTGTTCATGCTTTTATTATAGACAGTTTTTCACTTATCCTCATCTGGCTCTATAATTGAGTTCACCCTTTATATTATCGGCAGCTTTCCGTGCCAATTCTGACAGTTGGCACAGTGTCCAGAGTGATCCATATCAAACTGAGCTGTAAGTGATGAGACCAGGTCATGAAATATCTTTTCCCCAAGTGGTTCTTTTCTATAAACAGCACTGTTTTGAAAAGTTGTAGTTTTCTCACATGTATCTTTCCTTCCTCACACCTGCAACACCTTAAAATTTTCGTTCCATCCATTGTGAGCGTGCTGACAAATTAAGATGTGCAAGTCTCGAACACTTTTTTTTTTTCTGTAAGACTGACGCTACTTTCCAACAAACTCATGAATGTACATTTACTGTATAGTCACACTCCCTGTCTCTCATACACATGCAAACATGCATGCAGAGTGTGTGCAATGAATTATAATAAGCAGAGTGTGTGCAATGCATTATAATAAGCAGTGTGGCACTTATGTGGTAAGCTTTGCCCCATGCGCAATCGTAGAGAAGCCACATGAAGGCCTCTGGGTATTAAAGGACAAGCCTTGGTTGGCGGGGAGGGAATCTGTCGTAACAAGAAAACTGTATTTTTTTTTCACCCTTTTCCCCTCTTTGCCCTCCTTCTTCTCAAGCCTTTTCTTTACTCCTCTTGTCAAGTTCTGTCTCACCAGTTTCAGGCCCCTTTATTCTCCATCTTTCATTTTGTGGCATATTAGACTCAGTTGTAATACACTCCATCTTAAACTGCTTAGACCACTGGAATGTTCCGTCAAAGAGGCGGGTGGACCCAGGGGGCGGGACAGACCAACATAACCAATTAAGGAGGAGACTGAGGTAAGATGGACAGTTTCTAAATGGTGTAATAGCAACCTTTTAAAATGTAATTACAATGCTATAGCAATAGAAACTTCTAATGACAGGATGTATATTCCAGTGTGATTTCCTAATTATTGCTTTGGCGTTATGCTAACATGGAGTGGAGATTATAACAAGGTGTCAAACACAAATTCATCCACAAGGACTTGTGATGAAGGATGTAATGGCCACTCAAAAGTCCTGCCAGGTATTAAGCAGAGATAGTAGGCTACTCTACAAGTAATTATGTAGTCTGTTTATTAGTCGCACCATCTATCAATTTGTCCATTCATCTGTCCGCTCACTCATTATCAATGAGAATCTACGTGGCTATTGAGTCAGGTTTTTGCTTTTATTTAACATGCTCTTCTGTTTGTTCAGTTTCATTCCTCACACAGTGCGCATGTCAATTCACTGTTCATCTTTGAGTCCATCCGTATGTGATGCTGCCCTCCATCTACCATTCATCTCTATCCCTCCATCCATTTCTAACAAGAGGAGTGGATGGTGGTGTCCATTATTACAGAGCATCCCGGAATAGAGTCCCGTTTTATTAAAAGTCCTTCTGGTCGCCGAGGCTACCCAAATTACAGGCCAGGCTTCTCACACATAAAAAAGGTTGCACTGCTGAAAACCAGCCACCTCAATAAAGGATGGATTAGAGAATCCTTTGCTTTTTTTTTTCCCCCCCCCTTCCGTTCCTTTTTGAAAGGTTTTCTCTACATTTTTTTTTTTCTTTCTGGTGTTTTTTATGTTGGGGTGCAGCGGTCTTCTTCAGTGGTTTTGCTCCCCGACCCTGCGGTGGGAAAATGCGCTCACTTGTGGGATTCTGGGAAGGCGGCGGTGGACGAAACATCTGTTGGGAGCAAGATGTATGCAAGTCTGTGTACTGTATGTGAATGTTGGGACCGTGCCCTTGCATTCGCTTTAAGTTTACAGATTTGTTTGGAAAATCTAGACATGGTGAGGAAAAATATTCAATAAAAGCATTATGTGGTAGTTTTGAAAGAACTTTTCAAGATGCATTGTAATATAGAGCTCTGAGCTGATGAGTAAGTTTCAGTGATACAGGTGTATCCCTGAAGCTGCTTATACACTGCTCAAAAAAATGAAGGGAACACAAGGGAAAATAAGACATTAAACTATGTAATGAACAAGGTATTTAATAAGAATATTTCATTCATTCTGATCTAGGATGTCTTATGTTGTGTTCCCTTTATTTTTTTTGAGCAGTATATAATATAACATTTGTCCATCTTCAGAAGGAAGCTTTAAATTAAGTATTAGTAGTCTGAGTGGGCAGTAAAAGCTAACGCTTGCCTAACATTCAACGTTTCATTACGACACTCAGATGGCAAACAGTGGAGGTGATAAGGTGGATTTAAGAGGACCATCAGATGTTTGAAAATGTTAAAGATGTGCTTATGTGACTGAGTAGATATGAGCTCTGTGGCAAACAGTTTTATATGCCCAATAAATATTGCTTCAATATCAAGTTTTTCAAAATGTTTTTCCTCCTGCTCCAAAGTACTGCTGACATGTTTTGAATTATGGTGAGTGTAGGTCAGGGTGCTAGGAAATGAAAATTACAGCTGCATACAGTAGAGCTGTGTAAGATTTATATATTTAGAAAGATTAAAGTGTGATATGATGTCACATCCTTTGTTTTATTGTACATCAGACTAATTCATCACGTGTATAATATTCCATGTTATTTCAAGACGCCTTTGAATTTATAATAAGAACTTGCTATAATGCTCTAAAACCAAAGATCCATATGAATAAAATGTAAGCAGTTCCTGACCGGGGCAAGAGCAATCCCTGTTAAGAAATTCTGATAGGTTGGTATGACCAACAAAGCAAATCTGAACCAACAAATCAGTTTCCAAGTCCTCATGTTACAGCACTGGAATTTTTTGAGTGCTATGTCATGTTTCCTTACAATCTACTACCCCAGTAGCTATCAAGACATTTTGTTTACCAGACTAGTGTGTGTATATATTTACAAGAAGTCACATTTTTGCTCATTCACTTTTGTTCTGCTGTTTCAAGATCTATTTTTTTGCTTTTTCACAGTAGTAAATAAAGCTTGTTACAGGCTGTTCTCTTCCACCAGTGATTCAGAAGCAGTGCTTCTCTGATTGGAAACATTCAGTTGAAATATTTCTGTTGATTCACCAAAAAATGTGCCCGACCTGGACACTATGCTGGCACATTAAATTTCACTTTGAAGTAGTGAGAATTTTTGAATACTGTTGTACAATGGTTTGTGTATTCAACAATGATTCCATCAGCTCCATAATGTCTTGTGGTCATAGCTCAGGAGAGAAAGATAAGAGGTTCAAAAGCAATAAAAACTGGAGACTAGAAGTTTTTGATTGAAAGGAAAGACAGTGGTTGTATAAATCTATCACCAGTAAAAGGGGATGTTTAAAATGGTTTCTTCCCCAAATTCTCAATCTTTAAAATCAAAAGAACTATACCCTGGGATGCATGCTCATTAAACAATATGAGGACTCTATCATGTGGCAACCCGCTGGAAGTAAAGCAGTGACCAACCCATCGTTTAAGAAACCGGGGTTTTACAGGAAGTGTGAATGTGGTGTGTGATGAAAATATGGGACTAGGTGTGTGTGTGAATGTCTGTGTGTGTTTACAGTGCACACTATTATTATGTTGCTGAGGTTGAAATGATGTACGATGCTAGCAAGGGAGTAAACAAGAGCTGCACGCTATCTATAAAACATGTTTCTATGGGTCTTAAATGGAAATAAAATCAAATTCAAGTCTGAGATAATACAGTATGGAGATTTTGGGATATTAGGTATTTAGGACCTCCAAATACGTATTTAATTAATACCTTAATTGTTGTTTCAAGTGTGTTTTTTTTTTGTCTGTCACCTTTAAGAAACACATACAATTAAGGTGACCAGCTTATTCGTTGGTGCCAAAGAGCTCTATCTCTGTCCAAAACCTTTTAAAAATACACAGTGCGCTGGGTGATATGTTTTGTTTTCACTGCACTGAGCTGATGTACTGTATGTTTTTTTATCAAAAAAGACTTCTATGTTGTTATGGTGAGCATGAGAAACCAGCAGAGTAGTGTAGACCTCCATGTCAAAACAGTGACAGAAAATAGATATTAAAAACCACTGACACTGAAAAAAATGTTGTCAGCTAAAGAAAAACAAACTCTGATATAAGTACTGGCATCAACAAAAGAAATCAGAAGCTTGTCACTGAAAACACGTCAAAAAACAAAAATGAGATTACATTTATTTTTCAGTGAAGTTTTTCAGTATTCATTTCATATATTTTAATCAAGTGTTTCAATGCCGAGGTTTTTTCTCTGTGTAGGTTTTGTTTTCATGTCATGGTTCTGGCTTTTTAAAAACACTTTTTATATCATCAAATAATCTATTAACAAACTTGTATGAAAAATTAGCACTTGAACACAAATCCACATAATATGTACATAAAATGACAAAAATGGGTTTTGGGAGAAATGTACACTGAATTTTTATTTTGGCTTATGTCCTATCTGCTAACATGCAGGGGTGGGGTTTATGACCTATGCTGCATCCGGCCACCAGGGGGCGAAGGACTTGTTATGGCTTCACTTCTAGGGAGCTAACAGTTATCCATCTTTATATGCAGTTTATGGATCTGACAAAAGTAAATAATAGTTGAAAATGAGAAACCTCAGAGGTCGACGTATTAGCATTTTGTATCAATTCATAACAAAATCATTTTATTCTGTCTGGCAGGCTGACTAGTCTCATACAGCAGTAAATGCATTTCACTGTGAAACTAGGCTCTTACCGTCTTATTGCTTCATCCACCCCCAGCCCCACCATCCTTCTGCCTTGCCAATCAGTAGAAGGAGGAAAAAGGTCATTAAATCTCTCTGTAGGCCATATATGTAATTACAGTCTGCTTGTATGTTGCTAAATATGCCTCGGTGCTGGTCTGGTCTCCCTGGTCATGTTCCCTCCTCCACCGGCCATGTTTGAAGCGCTTATAATTGGCAGAGGCAGCGTATCAGGATTAGAGACTGCTGGTTCAAAACCCCAACACCCCCTTTTCCCCCGCCACCCTTGCTCCCATATTCAGACAACCGCAACTATAAAATACCTCTAACCTTCTTGCCAATCAGTAGAAGGAGGAAAAAGGTCATTAAATCTCTCTGTAGGCCATATATGTAATTACAGTCTGCTTGTATGTTGCTAAATATGCCTCGGTGCTGGTCTGGTCTCCCTGGTCATGTTCCCTCCTCCACCGGCCATGTTTGAAGCGCTTATAATTGGCAGAGGCAGCGTATCAGGATTAGAGACTGCTGGTTCAAAACCCCAACACCCCCTTTTCCCCCGCCACCCTTGCTCCCATATTCAGACAACCGCAACTATAAAATACCTCTACCCTTCTTCATTTCCCTTGTCTTACATCTGTTGAAATTAAAAATGTAATACTATATAAATGATTAAAGTCTAAAATATGGTGCTCAGTTCATATATATATACAGATACAGTAGTTCACTACTGAAGATACTGAGAAGTTCATTTCCAATAATTAAGTCATTTTTATTAACATTTTGTACTATTTCTCTTCAGGTTGTGTCTGCTCTACATGAATGGTTTTAGGTTTTTGTGGCTTTTTATTGTCAGTCTCAGGATTTCTCAATGAAAATGACCATCCTGTTTCATAACTGAAACAATCCTCCAGTTTTTTCTAGTAACCTTTAAGTTTACCTTCCATGGTTTTCCTACCAACTGCTTTGATATACAAAGTAGCAGGAAAACCACATATGCATACATCCTTGTTTTACCCCATGTAGTGTTAGAGTAAGATAACCTATCATAAATCACATCGTTAGCCTTCCTGAGGCTTTTTATAAGTGTTAATCAGTGTATATTTGACTGGCGCCTGCAGGACGCCCATAGTCAGTCTAACTCTGTCATCTCACACTCGAGTCCTCTCATTCAAAACACAGATACTGCAAAAAGTGACACATATGGCATTTATTTTCTTTTAAAGATGCCAAGTTATGGTCTCTGCCCAGTGTTAAGTAAGACAACATTTACATAATGCAACTACAACTTTACAGTGCAGTGACTTAACCTAAAATCCTTTAATGTGTTTGGATGTAGCAGAAACCTGCTCTGGCATTTTTTTTTTTTTTTTTTTGACTGTGTTACAGGGCTACCCCTGTCTCACTGGCAGTAGTAAAACCCTTGTGGGTTTAGACAAATGAAGGTTGTTTGGGCCATCAAAGCATTTAAAGTTGAAATGATGGAGCTGCTGGTCAGTGATGTCAGCAAAGATGTTGACTTTGTCTGAGTCAGAGCAGTTTCTGGTCAGCAGAGCCCCTAATTTCTCGGTCTGTCCATCGCTGTCTCCCTGTTTCCATCTGTCTTTGAACCTCTCTTACTCTCACATCATCTCACTCTGCTCTCGCTCTCACACATCTAAAAACTGCTGTGCTCACATCCAAGTCAGTGTGCTGACCTGAACCAAGAGTGTACACATTCACAAAAAGGTGCTTTACATGAAACTATGCATTGAATAATATGCATAATGTGTATATTATTGCATGATTTGTGCTCACATTTAAGGGACAATATTTTGCTGTCTGTTTTCTCTTTTCTATCTCATAAAATTGAAAACACTAAAGGAGAATTAAGCTACTCTTCTTCTCAGTGTGTATTCATGGTTGATTTACAAGACAAGAAAACCCCAGGTTATATACTTGTTTCTCAATATCTTTGAAGAATTTGTGTTGTCATAATCAAATTAACATATTTTTGCAGGTTACATCAGGAGGAGATTTCTTTTTTTAATTAAAGCTTGGAACTTAAAGTTCACTTTACTGACTACGAGCTGGGAGATGTTGTGGTTCCTTTTCTCCCTTCTGTGCTGGTTGCACATTATAATGCTGTGCCTGTATTGTGCCTGATCAGGCAAAAATCTGATCACAAGTAGGGTTACCTCTGCTCCTTTACTGCCAGCTCACTGAGTAAACATGCAGCATGTGTGCAGTTAACAAGTCAACACATCTAACAGTAAGCGCCCACTAGTAAATTAATCCATAAGTCAAACAGCTTCCCTTTGTAACACAGATGAAAACT